AGTTTTTAGCGTTGACGAGTCTCGGCGACACCGATTTTGCAGAGATTTTGGAAAGAAACTCTCGCGCACCACAAAGTCTCCGTGTGATTCAAGCGCTACAAGTCCAAGTAGTGCTGTGCTGTGTCGTCCTGGAGGAATACCGATAATGGCCTATGGACAACAATTTCTCAAGCGTTTATTTACTAGTTTTAATGATATTCGAAAATAAATTGAATGAATCCAAAGCTTGTGTGGAATCTCTTGAAAAGCACTAGGAAAGCAAATTTGGAAATGGGTAGGACTCCCTTGTAAAGGGTAAAAACAAAACAGGATTTAACACTTATCACTTTGGGTCAATGAACTCTTTAATGAAAAACAAAAAATCAGAAAAAAGGAAAAGTACATCATCCACAACCCAATCCTGAGAAGATATACAATATATTTATTATTCAATGTTCACAACAATAAAGTTCATTTGTTTCCATTATCGATTTTTTTTGTTCCCTTTAGCCCTATTCACTTCTTTGAAGGCGGCTCGAAATCGTACGGGCTGTCGATGTTGATGCTCTGCTGGGGCAGCGATCTAAAAATGGCGAAAGTAGATGCAGATCTAACAAACGATCTTCTAACGATAGTAGTATTATCTATTTATCCAAACAGATCTATTTTTAGCCAAGGAAAGTTTTAACCAGAAACACTTCACGAAGCCAATAAACTCCGACTTCAACCCGGTAGTGGGAGAGCCGACTGAGAATGAAGTTGTTTTGCCTTTAATTCAAAAGAAGCCTTCAAGGTTGAAAAAATTTAGCGTTCTTCGTGCTGGGCCCTGCAAACATGTTAACCCTGCACTTCTCTGTTGCGCTAAGCTTACTTTATTTCCTTTTCAGTTTGTCATCAAAACCACCGGCGAAGCTGTAAAAGTGCGCATTCCTTGCAAGTTTGAGATGTCTTCTAAAGAAAACGAACAGAAAGTCACTGTAAAGGAGTCAACTTCAACGCAACCAATTTTGGAACCTGCTGCCGATGCTCCATCGTTTTGTTATCTTACCGTTTTGTTACTATTTTTCAATTGTTTTGCAAATGTTGTTGCAGGTTATAAAAGATCATGATATGTTCATTTTTCGGTAAATCTTTTACATAAACTCCCAATATCTTGATTGGACCAAAAAGCCGGAAAGCGAGAGTTTTTGGGACATTTTTTCTTCACCAAAATAATAGCTGCAGATATTGGAACCGTATTGGGAACCGTATTGGAACCGTATTGGAACCATATTGGAACCGTATTGGAACCGTATTGGAACCGTATTGGAACCGTATTGGAACCGTATTGGAACCGTATTGGAACCGTATTGGAACCATATTAAACCTTAATAGAATTTCATGAATTGGAAACCGTATTGGAACCGTATTGGAACCGCTAATGGAACCGTATTGGAACCGTGTGTATTGGAACCGTATTCGAACCGTATTCGAACCGTATTGGAACCTTCATATACATATTACCCTTCCGCTAAGAAGAATTCCACACAAGGCCCAGGGAAGGTCCTGGATGCTGCGGTAGTTGGAAGCCGGAGAAGTGAGTTGTAAGGCTTACCTTCAACTAGCTGTATTTCTTTAGAAAATAACTGCCTGAAATGAAGAGCTTCGCGCATAAAATCACTCAATTTGGAATAAATATTTAAGCAAAAATTGTACCTTGGCATATAAACACGACCAAGGAACATGTAAATAAGGCTAGGGGTATGGGGCTAATGTCGTCATTCTAACAGAGATCCTCGGCCCGCATCCATGATGAGAAAGACCTGGTCCTCTGGCAGTCAAAAGTTGGCTAAATAAATAACTTCGAACTTTTTTCACTTGTTGCATATTTAATTCAAAGAGTTTGTGTTTCGAAACCGTTTCAACTTCAATTAACATTTTCTGAAATCGTTATATATGCGAATCAGCATGGACTATAATCTTTGTATCAACCTAAGCTTCTTAGATTCAACAGCTTGCAGAAAGAAAATCACTCGAGGTTGATTGTAGATTGTAGAAAAGAGAATCCACTCCGAGGAATCAGCGGATCAGTTGAGAGGATTGCCGGGTTCTCTTCAAAGTAACTGTGTTCAGGAGGTATACTTTTGAGCTATATAAATTAAACACAAAAGCATTCACAAAGCAAAGTTGCTCATGCTCGAGGACTTGTCAAAACTAAAGCGGAATTGTACAATTGTAGACTGAATACCTGATCCTAAGCTGAATATAAATCCAATGCCGTTCCAATATAATTCCAATACTGTCCCAATACGGTTCATATTATGAAACAAACAAGGTTCCAATACGGTTCCAATACGGTTCCAATACGGCTCCTATTAAGTTCTAATATGGTTCCAATTCGGATTCAATACGGTTCCAATACGGTTCCTATTAAGTCTAGGATAATGGGTAATGGATTTTTTAACTTTAATTGTATTTTTGACATTTTAAAGTGGCTTTTCTTGTTTTCGGGGTGAATTGAAGACAACACGTGCTGAGGTCCGCTTCAAAAAAACGGTGCGTTTTGCCTCGCTGGCTTGTCATCGATGCATTGAGAGGTCGGTGAAAGATGATGTGGAGTCATGGACCTGCTGTTGCATCTCATCGTCAAGGAAGGTAATGGATTTTGATCAATTCGCCGTGCCGTAAGAGGTCTAATAAAAAAGAACCACATCGGAGCGTCGCATAGTCTATCGCATAGTCATTTATTGATTAATGGCTGTGGAAATCCCAGTAGTAGAGTGAGATTTTATTCAAGATTTTCATGTTAGCGGCTTGCTTAAAAACTTTAGTAGGTGCATAGATCAAGACGGTGATTTAGTGCCTTTTCTTGGACACTTTCAGCATGCGCTCGCAACATTCGTTTATAGTCTAACAGAGTGGTTTCAAATTTCATTTCACGACTCGCAAAGTAGAAGGTTAAATCCGTTGGCTCTTTCATAGAATTTTTTTGACGAAAATCGAGAAGTTTTGTTGAAGAAAGCGGCTTCAGGATTAAATTACATATTGTATTAAATTTGGATTTAAAGCTGATCAAAGAAAAGAAATATCTTTCATTAAATTCTTTTAGCAACAATCAAAGCCCTCCTGAAAGGCAAAAAACCGATAAAGAGAATTAGCTCAGTTAGCGCAGTCTTGAAACTAAACTAAGTGTGAAGTAAAAAGTATTCGGCGTGAGCGAAAGCGTATTAAGCGAAAGACATTCAGTTTTTCCGTTTGAACACTCTTATTCCAATTTCAAAATAACTCACCCTAATAACCTGGTTTTCATAGTTTGAGTAAAGTTGCGGTGCTGATGGCTGTTGTTCGCAAGTGGAACCATTCGTCGATCCACATTTGCGAGGCACTTCCAATTGGTCAAGTACCTAAAAAGTCCAAGTCCAAGTTAATGATTGCACTTGTTCAATGTTTAAGCTTAATGGTGTTGTTGTTTTGTTTGCCTGGTGTTTGTTGTTGGATAATTTATCCAACAACATTTTGATGATTTTGATCAATTCGCCGTGCCGTAAGAGGTCTAATAAAAAAGAACCACATCGGAGCGTCGCATAGTCTAAGTTTACTCTCAAGCGCTGATGTTGAGTTATCAGAGTTTGAGAGTAAACCCTAGGCTAACAACAACTCCATATCAGAGCTTTCTTCGGCGCCATTACCGGAAAGTCACGAAGCTAAACGTCATATGTTTTTCACTGATATTTGCTTTTTTGTTTAGGTCTGCCTTGGAAGAACATCGGCGATAAGAACGCTGGCCAACGCTGTAAAGCCGCAAAGAGGAATCTCGCAAGAATAAGCATCTTTACGGAACGCTCAAGGTGCAAGAATGTAGGTGTCTTTGCAAACTCATAGCAAAACTTCAAATTGCTGATTCTGACTTTTTATTTTTAGCGACTTAAGGCCAGCATTTTGACTTGATCAAAGGTTTTTTAGGACTATCAGAAGGCTCTCATCTACCACGATCGCTTCGAGTACACCGATCATGTCGATCATCAATTCACCTACGAGAAGCTCAAACGGGTAGGGTTTTATTTTTGTAGCGTTTGCCATGCTTTAGCCTTGGAGATTGTTAGATGGTTTGTTAGATCTGCATCTACTCTCATTTTGGATCGCTGCCCAAGCAGAACATCAAGATCGACGACCCGTACGATTTCGAACCGCCTTCAAAGAAGTGAATAGCGCCAATGGAGGACAAAAAAAATGGATAATGGACTTTATTATTTGTGAATGAATAAATTAATAAATGATTGTATATCTTTGTGGCAAGGAACAATTTTAACTTTAGCCAAACACAAGATTTACCTTACAACACTCCAAAGCCTTCCTCCATTGGTGCAGGTCGACTGCCGATGGTGTAGGTCGACTTTCCACCCTTGATTGCTCCCTGAAAGGAAAAAAGAACAATGTAAAACATTAATAAAAATAGTCTTTCATAGAGTTTCGCGAAGCGAGCGACAGTTTTGATGCCAAAATAGCCAAAATTGCAAAAAATGCCACCAGAATAAGGTGATCAAAAAAAATTGCTTAAATTAAAACTTTAGTGGGGGCAGAGATCAAGACGGTGATTTAGTGTCTTTTCTTGGACACTTTTAGCATGCGCTTATAGTTAGACTGTTAGACTATTACATTCGTTATAGCCTAACAGAGTGTTTTCAAATTTCATTTCACGACTCGCAAAGTAGAAGGTTAAATCAATCCGTTGGCTCTTTCATAGAATTTTTTTGACAAAAATCGGGAAGTTTTGTTGAAGAAAGCGGATTCAGGATTAAATTACATATTGTATTAAATTTGGATTTAAAGCTGATCAAAGAAAAGAAATATCTTTCATTAAATTCTTTTAGCAACTAATCAAAGCGGGTCTGAAATGCAAAAAACCGATTATCCGACGATTGACGACCAAGCACTATTATTAGTGCTTGGTCGTCAATCGTCAACTTTTATCGAAATTTTTTATCGAGCAACTTTATTATGCATTTTTCAAATCTTTGGAGTCCCATTTGCCGTCGACTCTATGGGTTTTCGCTGACTTTCTTGTTGAGGCTAAATTAGAAAAAGTTGATACAGATAAAATGAACTCACATTTCACAAATTTTCTTGTAGCCGCCCAGGAAACTCTTGCAATGATCCCTATTGATGATTCCCCCGCTCACCCACAATTCAATCAGGCCCGCATGAATGTAGAAATATTGACCGCCGCCCTGCACTGCATGAAATCTGAAACGGGAAGGCGTTAAAAGAATTCTGCAACAAAAATACCTCATCTTGCGCAACTCCTTGAGCAGCTGGACCATCGTGAAGTCGGGATTGGCCATAATTGCTTGGTTGGCGTAGTCAACGGCTAAATAATAATTTAACTTTATCTAGCGAAATGGTCTTTGCCGACGAAGGCTGAAGTGCGGCCAATCCCCGCCGAGCAGTGCACCGTGATAGGATTTTCCAATGGAGCCCTGGTGACGCACTTCCAAGAGGGCTGAAAAGGACAAATTCTAGTAGTAAGAAAAAGATCACCGACCTATGATCTGTTCCAGATTGGTTGGAATTGAGTGGTCCTTCCAGGAGTTGACTAAAAAGTGTGTGACAATGAAGGGCTCCGCCAACCTAAACACCTAGCAATTATCCCATAGCCGAAAAGAAACAAACTTTCCCCGGGTGACCTGATATTGGTAGATTGACGTCTCCTTGTAAATCGAATGCAGTTTCCGGTCGTACGTGATCTTGTAATCGCCCGCGTTGATCGAGTGTCCTTTGGAGAATTTCGGGTAGTACCTAAATTTAGGTGTTTATTTTTAAACATAAAATTTTTTGCGTAACATAACTATAAATTTTAACCCGTCACCTTTCGCATTTGCTCTCTTTTCCCTCGTTCAGCGCGCACAGCATCACAATTTGAGTCGACTGCTCGGTAATGATCATATGCCAAAAATCCTAGATCAAAAGGTCAAAGAAACGTCACTGTTAAGAAACAATTGTGTCTTCCAGCGGCCCCTGTGTGCTGATCTACCGCCGACCGTTTGCCATTGTCATCCACGAGGCGTATATGTAGTCATTGCTCGAATCACGGTCCTAAATTCAAAAATTAACGGTTATCAAAATGAGACACCTTCAATTTCACCCGCGTATTGTCCAATTTCACCCGCGTATTGTCGATGTCGGGTAGCTAAAGCAAACAATTGTAAATCACCAAAAACTTTTTCAACTTGCCGATTTTTCGATTCGAATCGTTGCCAGGCAAGATACGTGTAGCTATCGGGCTTGATTTTTTCCATTTCTTTCGTTTTATACTCGTTGAAGATATTCTAAAAAGTAAAAATTATAAAAAGGATTGATGGGTTTTACCCTTTGTTTTTTTGAAAGCAAGGCTTCCGCGTAACTAGTGCGTGGATCCTTGGCAAAGGCAATGGCGGAGGCTTCTTTTTCTCAAGGATGTAGATCAGAAATATTGTTTTAAAGGGACGGACTCACAAAATAAGCAAAAATTCAGCCGCGTCAAGAAGTCATCCAAATTGTCTTCGGCCAGGAATGGGAGGACGGCATTACGGTGAGAATGGCTTTTTCTTCTCAAGCTCAGGCTCAACTCCTCTTAGGCTCATCTCTTTCAACTTCCTCTTAGGCTCATCTCTTTAAATAAGGTGCCCACTCTACGAGTTTACGATTAAAACAGAAAGAATGGAAAAATCAGCCCGATAGCTACACGTATCTGCCTGGCAACGATTCGAATCGAAAAATCGGCAAGTTGAAAAGTTTTTGGTGATTTACAATTGTTTGCTTTAGCTACCCGGACATCGACAATACGCGGGTGAAATTGGACAATACGCGGGTGAAATTGAAGGTGCTCTCATTTTGATAACCGTTAATTTTGAATTTAGGACCGTGATTCGAGCAATGACTACATATACGCCTCGTGGATGACAATGGCAAACGGTCGGCGGTAGATCAGCACACAGGGGCCGCTGGAAGACACAATTGTTTCTTAACAGTGACGTTTCTTTGACCTTTTGATCTAGGATTTTTGGCATATGATCATTACTGAGCAGTCGACTCAAATTGTGATGCTGTGCGCGCTGAACGAGGAAAAGAGAGCAAATGCGAAAGGTGACGGGTTAAAATTTATAGTTATGTTACGCAAAAAATTTTATGTTTAAAAATAAACACCTAAATTTAGGTACTACCCGAAATTCTCCAAAGGACACTCGATCAACGCGGGCGATTACAAGATCACGTACGACCGGAAACTGCATTCGATTTACAAGGAGACGTCAATCTACCAATATCAGGTCACCCGGGGAAAGTTTGTTTCTTTTCGGCTATGGGATAATTGCTAGGTGTTTAGGTTGGCGGAGCCCTTCATTGTCACACACTTTTTAGTCAACTCCTGGAAGGACCACTCAATTCCAACCAATCTGGAACAGATCATAGGTCGGTGATCTTTTTCTTACTACTAGAATTTGTCCTTTTCAGCCCTCTTGAAGTGCGTCACCAGGGCTCCATTGGAAAATCCTATCACGGTGCACTGCTCGGCGGGGATTGGCCGCACTTCAGCCTTCGTCGGCAAAGACCATTTCGCTAGATAAAGTTAAATTATTATTTAGCCGTTGACTACGCCAACCAAGCAATTATGGCCAATCCCGACTTCACGATGGTCCAGCTGCTCAAGGAGTTGCGCAAGATGAGGTATTTTTGTTGCAGAATTCTTTTAACGCCTTCCCGTTTCAGATTTCATGCAGTGCAGGGCGGCGGTCAATATTTCTACATTCATGCGGGCCTGATTGAATTGTGGGTGAGCGGGGGAATCATCAATAGGGATCATTGCAAGAGTTTCCTGGGCGGCTACAAGAAAATTTGTGAAATGTGAGTTTATTTTATCTGTATCAACTTTTTCTAATTTAGCCTCAACAAGAAAGTCAGCGAAACCCCATAAGAGTCGACGGCAAATGGGACTCCAAAGATTTGAAAAAATGCATAATAAAGTTGCTCGATAAAAAATTTCGATAAAAGTTGACGATTGACGACCAAGCACTAATAATAGTGCTTGGTCGTCAATCGTCGGATAATCGGTTTTTTGCATTTCAGACCCGCTTTGATTAGTTGCTAAAAGAATTTAATGAAAGATATTTCTTTTCTTTGATCAGCTTTAAATCCAAATTTAATACAATATGTAATTTAATCCTGAATCCGCTTTCTTCAACAAAACTTCCCGATTTTTGTCAAAAAAATTCATGAAAGAGCCAACGGATTGATTTAACCTTCTACTTTGCGAGTCGTGAAATGAAATTTGAAAAACACTCTGTTAGGCTATAACGAATGTAATAGTCTAACAGTCTAACTATAAGCGCATGCTAAAAGTGTCCAAGAAAAGACACTAAATCTAAGTCTTAACTGTGATTGTGAATAGTCTTAACTGTGATTGACCTTTTTGATCTGTCCTTAAAATCGTTAAAATCTAATGCAATTCATTACGGTATCCCTATAGGATTAGCATCAAAAAAGCTGCAAAAAAAATGATTCAATTTTTGTATTCACGAGCAAAGTGGTATAACCAAAATTCACAAAGAGTTACAAGTGAAAAAGCCAAAAAAGCAAGCTCACTTGACACTGGCGGAATTACAAAAAGGAACCAAATTGTACAGAAAAGAAGTCAAATTGTACAAAATGGGTCTGAAAATATATTAACCGAATGAAACCGTCGCAAAATGTTTATAATGTTGGTTGCTGACTATGGGCGACTCAGCGGTGGGTTAGATCCTTGTGAATTTGTCAAACCATTTACATAAGTCAACACAATGAGCATAAGTCAACACAACACAAAAAGGCTAAGTAAAATTCAGTACTACAAGCAATTTTTCTTCGTGATTTTGCCAAGCAGCACTGGGCGTCGTGTTCGCTGTGGACGTACGGAGGCTGCGATCGACGAGTGCGTGCGGATCTAAAAAAACAAGTGTACAAATGTGTATTCCACCTGGTGACAAAAATCCAAAAAAAAAATAAGCGTTTTGAAAATAACGGTAATATACGATAAGGTTCCAATACGCTCCCAGTTGAGGATCGAATACCGTGCCAATACGGCTCCAAAACAGATTTCTCACCTCATCGCTGATCGTTTTGTCGCCTTTCTCCTTGTAGAATTCCTCGGTGAACACAACAATGCCATTTCTAACATAATTCCGGAGGCGATAGCTGGAAAATGAAACATTTAGACTTAGGGAATGCGATTTGAAAAGCTCAGCCCGTTTAAATCCTTAACCAAAATGCCAAACGGACCTACGATACGGGAACTTCATAAATTCGTGCCACGAGTGCGATCCATCGCGATTCGCCCAAATGTACAAGTCATAGAGCGAGCGAGCATCGTAATTTTGAGCTAAACAAGTGAGCAATGAGCAGAAAAAGTCGTAGTTACTCGATGGGACGCCTGTCCCTCAACAAATCCATCACAACCCCAATTGCTCGATATCCACAACTCCATCCATCTGTCTGAAAATTTTAAATTTTCAGCTTGAAGCCCTGGTTATAACCGAGTTATTGACAAAACCAACCTGAGGGTCAATGTCGTGCACATATTCAACAGGGACCACGCCTGGCTGAGCAACACCGAAAAGGAGATGTCCGAAGAGGTCCAAAATTTGTCGAATGATCGATGGGCTCATCTAAAATGAAATAGCTGTAATTCATACTCAAAAAGTACCATGTCTTTCAAATCCCGATTTCTAACATTTTTCGCATGCAGTAATGGATCGTAAACTCGTAGAGTGGGCACCTTAGAGATGAGCCTAAGAGAAGTTGAGCATGAGCTTGAAAAGAAAAAACCATTCTTACCGTAATGTAGTGCTCCCGTTCCTGGTCGAAGACAATTTGGATGACGCGGCTGAATTTGCGATCGAAGCGGGGCTGGGTCGCACTAAAGGGCTCTCAAGTTGCTGAATAGCTTTTAAATAGTAATAAACTGTAGTAAGCGACTTTGTGACAATCAATATGCTTCAAAATTTCCACAAATTTCCCAAACAAAGATAGAGAGCCACCTACCAAAATCGATTGAATCGCAAAAAAGCCGTTAATACGGTCCGGAGCGGCGAGTTGCACGCGATCGCAGAACACGTTGAGCATATCGTCGCTAAGGCGCACCCCAAATGGACCCTGAAGATATTAGAATAAAACTAGCGCTCACATATCTTTCCATTTCCAACAATTTCCAAAAATAAAAAGGCCTCAGCCAATAAGTGTTATTGGAAAGCCCTAAATCTTCTCTAGAAGATAGTGCAAAAAATGTTGAATGGGACTAATTATTGGGGACTTGGGTGTTAAAAAGCAACTGCAGGTCGAGTTTCAACCGAGGGACCTGCGCCTGCTGGCAACTCACACTTCCACGGATTTTTCGCTTGAAGTTTTTCTTAAATATAACTTAATATTTATACCAAAAATCAAAAGACCCGCTTAGATTCAATCGAAATATAAAAATCCCAAGTCAAAAATTGGCAGTTTTTAGCCTAAAATGGGGTCAAAAAACAAAGGCTTAACTCTAGAAAATGAACAAAAGAAGTTCTTCTCTTCTATAATATTTTCAAATCACTTTAATTGATAGTATTTTCTAACGGAAAACCCGGGCATGACTATTACTAGAAACACATTCTCCTGAGAATCGTCATTTTTGAGCTTTCAACTTAAAAGTCACTCAAATCCCCATTATTTTGCAAAGGAGATTCAAGGCTTTATAATAGTATACAACACTTATTCACTGCTGCTTGTCAGTTTAGACTGATTCTTTTCGGGCACTATTTCGACAGTAGGACGGGGATTGGATTTTACTGCAGGCACCTGAACGTACCAAAAGTGGGAACCCAGCCCTTGGAGTGGACATTTACTTAAAATGGGTTGCTGATGCTTGGGATGCAATTTTGGAAGAACTCATCCGTCGATCCTTTAAAAACAATTTCAATTTCAACCGATTTTTTATCAAGAGCAAATCAGCCAACAGCAAATCAGCCAAATTTTACACCAACATTAATTACTTGCGTACTACAGCTAAATCCATCGAGTCTGGACAACTATTTGACCCCAAATTCCACGTGATCTGGTTGCAGCATGCCAAGGAGAATTCAAACAGGAATGGCGGCTAACGGAGGACCCACTAAGTATTTTTCATAATGTTTTCTCAAATGTTAAAAGACTTTTGTCCATCAATTTTTGGCCCAATTTTTGTTTTATTGTTCATGACACAAAGTGATAAATTGTTAAATCCTGTTGCTGTTATTTGCAGAGACCCAAAGCTAAATCTGGTAAATTTCCTAGAAAATGTGAAGAATTTTTCTGAAACAAGCCGCGAAAGAGTCGCCGGTCGAGGTGGCTTTACGTCGATTATTTCCGTCGATTACTTTGGAAATTGTTGTCGCTTAGAAAAAAAGGAATCCTACCCATTTTCCAAATTCTTTTCTAGTGCTTTTCAAGATTCCACACAACTGGATTCATTGAATTTCTTTTCGAATGTCATTAAAACTAGTAAATAAACGCTTGGAAATTGTTGTCGCCGTTATCGGTATTCTCGGACGACACAGCACAGCCTTACTTGGACATGCGCTTGAATCACGGAGACTTTGTGGTGAGTTTCTTTCAAAATCTCTGCAAAATCGGTGTCGCCGAGACTCGTCGACGCTAAAAACTTTCAAAATTCCAATGTAATCAACAATCGTTTTCTAAAAAGCACCAGTCTTCGCAAGATTTTGCAATGGATGCCCGATTCTGTAGAAATGCTTTGATATTCCATTGAATTTAGCTATTTTTATGATCTAGCAATTCTACCTTTGCTTAGCTCCAAGTCAGTAAATCAGAAAAAAGGAAAAGTACATCATCCACAACCCAATCCTGAGAAGATACAATCATTTATTTATTTATTCACGTTCACAAATAATAAAGTTCATTTGTTTCCATTATCGATTTTTTTTGTTCCCCATTGGCCCTATTCACTGCTTTGAAGGCGGCTCGAAATCGTACGGGCCGTCGATGTTGATGCTCTGCTGGGCAGCGATCTAAAATGAGAAAGTAAGTGTATATCTAACAAACCATCTAACAATCCTCAAGGCAACTAATGGTGTGCAAAAAACCCTACCCGTTTGAGCTTCTCGTAGATGAATTGATAATCGACATGATCGGTGTACTCGAGGCGATCGATGTAGGTGAGAATCTTCTGATAGTCCTAAAGAAAAACCATTGATCAAGTCAAATCTAACTGCAGAATCAGCAATTTGAGCGTTCCGTAGAGATCCTTATTCTTGCGAGATTCCTCCTTGCGGCCTTGTACAATGTTCTTATCATCAATGTTCTTCCAAGGCAGACCTAAACAAAAAAGCAAATATCAGTGAAAAACATATGATCTTTAGCTTCGTGAACTTTCCAAGTAAAGACTTCAAGAAAAGAGATACCGTAAAAGCTCTAATATAGGAGCGCGCATAGCCTAAGTTTACTCTCAAACGCTGATATCTCACACCAGCGTTTGAGAGTAAACTTAGACTATGCGACGCTCCTATACGCCGCTTTTTTATTAGAGCTTAGCGGTAAGGCGAATTGCTCAAATCCAAAATCAATTACCTTCCTTGACGATGAGATCCAATAGCAGGTAGAACCACGACTCCACATCGTCTTTCACCGACCTCTCAATGCATCGATGACAAGCCAGCGAGGCGAAACGCACCGCCCTTGAAGCGGACCTCAGCAGGTGGCGTCTTCAATTCACCCTGAAAATAAGAAAAGCCACATTTAAAATGTCAAAATACAATTAAAGTTAAATCAAATCCATTACCTTGTGATTTGTGTACTTGCGAGCAATTCCGAAGTCGAGGATGTAGACCGTGTGCATCTGATTATCAAGACCACATGCGTAGTTTGCCGGCTTTAGGTCGCTAAAAATAAAAAGTCGACAAGAATGGAGTTGTTTTAAAATGCTCAAGACTCAATTCGCCACGAAACACTTTTAAGCTCTAAACCATTGACACTAGAACATTCAAGGAAACAAACCGATGAATGAAGGCATGTTTATGAAGGTCCTCAACCGCTTCCAGGCACTGCATTCCGACGCCAAGTCCCGTGCCCAAGGAGAAAACCTAAAAGAAGCACAATATTAAGTTTTTATCTGCTCAATTCACATTTTCATTATGTGACACGTTAAACAGGCTAAAACTCATCTGATGACCTTTGTTGTTGGATAAATGATCCAACAACAAAGATCAGGCAAGACAAGACAACACCAACACCATTAAGCTTAAACATGGAACAAGTGCAACCATTAACTTGCAACAATTGCGCTTCTACAACCAAATTACCGATATGGAAATTCAAACAAACGCACATTCATAGGGCGATCTTTCTTGAGATCCTGCAACGATTTGCCGACGAGTTGCATGATGAGAAAGTAGTAGTATTCCTTCTTTCCGCGGTCGATAATCGCCGTGAAATGATTGCGCTCGCTTGTTCCTTTTCGCTCATTGGCCACCATCTTGAGGATGCTTATCTAAAAAGGAAACTGAATAATGAATGAAATGTACACAAATACCTCCATTTTCAGCTTGGAGTGAATCCTGTTCTTGATCCTCTTCTCGATTTTCATTGCGTAGCACAACTTCGAATCGTTCTTGTCGCAAATCTAAAGAAATGTTAATGATATGATTATAATAAAATAAAAAGAATAAAGATAGTGATAATTATTTGAGATTCGATCAACTCGAGTAAATATTTACACCATATCAAACAATGGCAAGGAACAATATTTTTAACTTCGGCCAAACACAAGATTTAACACAAGTCAACTTTAAAAACAGTAAACACAATATATAGGCTTTCATAAGTTTGGCGAAGCGAGTGACAGTTGCCTTTTGATGCCAAAATAGTCAAAATAGGAAAAAATGCCACCAGAATAAGTTGATCAAAAAAAATTGCTTACCGGTTCGATGCCGACCTCCGCGTACCAGGTTTCATCTTCGCTGCTCATCCTTGTGTCGTTGATCAGCTCCGGTGTGAAGGTTAACAAATGATACGTGAAAGGGAAATTTTTCTTTTATATTGGGTCCTTAAATGCAAATTCTCCTTTTCGCGACTATCGCTTAAATGCAAATTTTGACAATTTCAATTTTCGTCTCAATTCAATTCCTTCGAATTTTTTAGTTTTCAACTTGTTTTTGGTGTATTTTATGCTGATTTCTGGTGCATAGCTCATAATCAAACTAGCGTAAATACTGTTCGTTCGATGGACCCCACCCCCATAATGACGGTGCGGAGTGTTGCATATTCTAGCTTCGAACGAGTTTTTGCTCGACACTGGTTTATGCTACAGGTAGGTATCAAAAGGTATCAAAAATAGCTGAAATTCAGGGCTATTTTTTGAAACCAAAGAAAGCATTTTTATAACAAATAACGCTTCCAATACGGTTCCAATACGGTTCCAATAAGGTCCCAATAAGGTTCCAATACGGTCCGAATAAGGTTCCAATACGGTGCCTATTATGAAACAAATAAGGTTCGAATAAGGCTCGAATATGGTTCCAATACGGTTCCAATAAGGTTCCAATAAGGTTCCAATACGGTTCCAATACGGTGGTAACTGTACTATTATAGTAACGATAGTAGTATTATCTATAAAGAAAAAGCCTAGAGGTTATTTTTCAATTTGATTGTAAAATTTGAATTTAAATCTCATGGAGACAGCGGCCAAATGTTAGCGGATCATTTTCGATTGGAAGCAAACCAGGTTCAGTTTCTTATTACTTGTCCTAAAATTTTAGTGCTCTGCTTTGTCAGATTCTGCCATATTCGGTCAGATGTTTTAATTTTGATTTAGCATCTGGTCTGTCCTGTTCTGATGATGCTTTGCATCTACGCTTTGCCGATTTTACTGAGTTAGTTAGCATTGGATTCGGTTCTACTGAGCCTATGCCGGATAATTTTGTGTTTTAGTCTTTTTTGCGGTTGGATGTGGTAGAAAGAAAAAGCCTAGAGGCTCGAAACCCCGTCCAAAAGGGTCGAAGGCTAGAACTGCCGTGGGAAATGAGAAACTGAGCCCAACTTCATTGGTTCCGCTTCCACAGGTTTTTTATTTCGAATCTTCCAAGTCACATTTTACAGTCAACGCCAAAGAAGTCAGAAAGCAAGCACGATGTGAAGCATGAGGCAAATTTCCTTATTTTCTATTACTAAGATATTTTTAGAAAGTTTTCTTCTTCGCGGAAAAGGGCTGCAAAAGTGGGAAGAAAGCTTTGGAGACTGAAGAGACAAGCGAGGAGGAAATCCTTCCAAAACCAATCCATCGAACTGAAAAAGCGGTAGACTTGGCGAAGCGAAAGTCCGCTAAACTGTTTGAATTTAGGAAGTAATCGTGAGGAAAAACGATTATCCAACTTTCAACGATATCTTGAGTGACTGGGAGAGCAAAAGCAAGCAGGTGCTGTTAATTTCTAGGATTAGGATCGGGGTGATTTATTGGTTTTTGTTTTAGAGCGCTTCCAGAAAATCTGAAATGAAGCTCGGCCGAGATCTCATGCAAGAAGGAAAAAAGGAAAACCTTGCGGACTAGTGTATTGAGCAACAATAAATTTCCGAAATATGCCGTCCATTCACTATAATGATGAAAGCCAGTCAAAAATGACCGGCCTATCAAATAAAGTTTTTTAATCTTATCGATTCCGCTCTTGTTAATCTTATTGTTTCCACAATTCAAGTTTGTTCCAAAACGGTTTCTATTAAGTTCCAATATGGTTCCAATACGGGGAACCATCTCGGGAATTCCTGGAAGAAGTGGAGCAACGACGACGGCGGCACTCAACCAAGCAAAGCGTGGATAGATTTCTTGAGGAGCGCATCATATCGCAAGGACATCTCTTAACGCCATCAATTCTCGTGTTACTGATCGATCGTCTCCTTTATTTCGGCATTTTTCACGCTGTCATATTTCTGCTTGATCTTAGAAAAATTAGGGACACCCGAGTAAAAGCTGGATAAAAATTTCAGCTAGATAAAAATGCGGAAAAATAAAAAGGATCGCAGAAGCAAATCTTTGTGCGGGGTACGGTGCATCTGGTGCATCCAGCGCATCCACGCTTTAGAAAGCGAGCGGTTTCTCAAAAGAATGGAATTTAACTCGAAAAGGAAATACTCGCTCGAATATGGTTTCAATATGGTTCCGATATGGTTCCCCGTATTGGAACCATATTGAAACTTAATAGAAACCATTTTGGAACCGTCTTACAGCCTAATTCAAAACCCGATTTCTAACATTTTTCGCATGAATGGATCGTAAACTCGTCGAGTGGGCACCTTATTCACGTAAAAGAGATGAGCCTAAGAGGAGTTGAGCCTGAGCTTGAGAATAAAAAGTCATCCTTACCGTAATGTAGTGCTCCCGTTCCTGGTCGAAGACAATTTGGATGACTTCTTGACGCGGATGAATTTGCGATCGAAGCGAGGCCGGGTCGCACTAAAGTGCTCGCAAGTTGCTGAGTAGCTTTTAAATAGTAATAAACTGCAGTAAGCGACTCTGTGACAATCAAAATCGGCTGAATCGCAAAAAAGCCGTTAATACGGTCCGGAGCGGCTAGTTGCACGCGATCCCAGAACACGTTGAGCATATCGTCGCTAAGGCGCACCCCAAATGGACCCTGAAGATATTAGGCAGGAACAATTTTTAACTTCAGCCAAACACAAGATTTACCTTAAACAACACTCCACATTTACCTTAAACAACACAATGTGAAACATTAATTAAAAGAGTCTTTCATAGAGTTTCGCTTAGAAAAAATGAAGTACCAAAAAACTTTTGCGCCTACGCGACTGCGAACTTTAGTATGGACAGTGATGATGAAGACGGTGATTTAGTGCCTTTTCTTGGACACTTTCAGCATGCGCTTTCGCAACATTCGTTATAGTCTAACAGAGTGGTTTCAAATTTCATTTCACGACTTGCAAAGTAGAAGGTTAAATCCGTTGGCTCTTTCATAGAATTTTTTTGACGAAAATCGAGAAAATTTGCTGAAGAAAACGGATTCAGAAGCTTATCAACTTTTTTTTCGATGAGTGCATCCCTGAGTAACTGTAGTTCTGTAGATCGGACCATCAGGCTTAAAACGATGAATGAGCTGGTCGTCGGCACCATTTGATCGATTCCAAAACCACAGCTTTTAAAGGATCGAAGGATGAGTTCTTCCAAAATTGCATCCCAAGCATCAGCAACCCATTTTAAGTAAATGTCCACTCCAAGGGCTGGGTTCCCACTTTTGGTACGTTCAGGTGCCTGCAGTAAAATCCAATCCCCGTCCTACTGTCGAAATAGTGCCCGAAAAGAACCATTCCAAGCCACATCGGTGCACTGAACAAACTTCGTAGTGCATCCAGGAACAAAAAAACAGTCCAATTAAAGATGATTGGGCTTTTACCTCGTTGACTCGCTTTGATGAGACGCAAAACGCTCCCAAATCAAAGAACAATCGGTTTTTGAAAAAACCCAAGTCATTTGAAGATGTCAATGATTTAGAGCTTAAAAGTGTTTCGTGGCAAATTGAGTCTTGAGCATTTTAAAACAACTCCATTCTTGTCGACTTTTAATTTTTAGCGACTTAAAGCCGGCAAACTACGCATGTGGTCTTGATAATCAGATGCACACGGTCTACATCCTCGACTTCGGAATTGCTCGCAAGTACACAAATCACAAGGTAATGGATTTGATTTAACTTTAATTGTATTTTGACATTTTAAATGTGGCTTTTCTTATTTTCAGGGTGAATTGAAGACGCCTTATTACTACTATGAAAAAAACAAAAACCTTTCAAAAAACACCCACGTGCTTCTTCGCCGGAGACAACCGGAGACGCTTTTCTCGATTTTCGTCAAAAAAAATTCTATGAAAGAGCCAACGGATTTAACCTTCTACTTTGCAAGTCGTGAAATTTTCTTTTCTAAAACAAAAACCAATAAATCACCCCGATCCTAATCCTAGAAATTAACAGCACCTGCTTGCTTTTGCTCTCCCAGTCACTCAAGATATCGTTGAAAGTTGGATAATCGTTTTTCCTCACGATTACTTCCTAAATTCAAACGGTTTAGCGGACTTTCGCTTCGCCAAGTCTACCGCTTTTTCAGTTCGATGGATTGGTTTTGGAAGGATTTCCTCCTCGCTTGTCTCTTCAGTCTCCAAAGCTTTCTTCCCACTTTTGCAGCCCTTTTCCGCGAAGAAGAAAACTTTCTAAAAATATCTTAGTAATAGAAAATAAGGAAATTTGCCTCATGCTTCACATCGTGCTTGCTTTCTGACTTCTTTGGCGTTGACTGTAAAATGTGACTTGGAAGATTCGAAATAATAGAACCTGTGGAAGCGGAACCAATGAAGTTGGGCTCAGTTTCTCATTTCCCACGGCAGTTCTAGCCTTCGACCCTTTTGGACGGGGTATCGAGCCTCTAGGCTTTTTCTTTCTACCACATCCAACCGCAAAAAAGACTAAAACACAAAATTATCCGGCATAGGCTCAGTAGAACCGAATCCAATGCTAACTAACTCAGTAAAATCGGCAAAGCGTAGATGCAAAGCATCATCAGAACAGGACAGACCAGATGCTAAAACCTTTGGCTCCAAGTCAGTAAATCAGAAAAAAGGAAAAGTACATCATCCACAACCCAATCCTGAGAAGATACAATCATTTATTTATTTATTCACGTTCACAAATAATAAAGTTCATTTGTTTCCATTATCGATTTTTTTTGTTCCCCATTGGCCCTATTCACTTCTTTGAAGGCGGCTCGAAATCGTACGGGCCGTCGATGTTGATGCTCTGCTGGGCAGCGATCTAAAATGAGAAAGTAAGTGTATATCTAACAAACCATCTAACAATCCTCAAGGCAACTAATGGTGTGCAAAAAAACCCTACCCGTTTGAGCTTCTCGTAGATGAATTGATAATCGACATGATCGGTGTACTCGAGGCGATCGATGTAGGTGAGAATCTTCTGATAGTCCTAAAGAAAAACCATTGATCAAGTCAAATCTAACTGCAGAATCAGCAATTTGAGTTTTTGTCATGAGTTTGGAAAGAATCACCTACATTCTTGCACTTGAGCGTTCCGTAGAGATCCTTATTCTTGCGAGATTCCTCCTTGCGGCCTTGTACAATGTTCTTATCATCAATGTTCTTCCAAGGCAGACCTAAACAAAAAAGCAAATATCAGTGAAAAACATATGATCTTTAGCTTCGTGAACTTTCCAAGTAAAGACTTCAAGAAAAGAGACACCGTAAAAGCTCTAATATAGGAGCGCGCATAGCCTAAGTTTACTCTCAAACGCTGATATCTCACACCAGCGACGCTCCTATACGCCGCTTTTTTATTAGAGCTTAGCGGTAAGGCGAATTGCTCAAATCCAAAATCAATTACCTTCCTTGACGATGAGATCCAATAGCAGGTAGAACCACGACTCCACATCGTCTTTCACCGACCTCTCAATGCATCGATGACAAGCCAGCGAGGCGAAACGCACCGTTCCCTTGAAGCGGACCTCAGCACGTGGCGTCTTCAATTCACCCTGAAAATAAGAAAAGCCACATTTAAAATGTCAAAATACAATTAAAGTTAAATCAAATCCATTACCTTGTGATTTGTGTACTTGCGAGCAATTCCGAAGTCGAGGATGTAGACCGTGTGCATCTGATTATCAAGACCACATGCGTAGTTTGCCGGCTTTAAGTCGCTAAAAATAAAAAGTCGACAAGAATGGAGTTGTTTTAAAATGCTCAAGACTCAATTCGCCACGAAACACTTTTAAGCTCTAAACCATTGACACTAGAACATTCAAGGAAACAAACCGATGAATGAAGGCATGTTTATGAAGGTCCTCAACCGCTTCCAGGCACTGCATTCCGACGCCAAGTCCCGTGCCCAAGGAGAAAACCTAAAAGAAGCACAATATTAAATGTAAAGTTTTTATCTGCTCAATTCACATTTTCATTATGTGACACGTTAAACAGGCTAAAACTCATCTGATGACCTTTGTTGTTGGATAAATGATCCAACAACAAAGATCAGGCAAGACAAGACAACACCAACACCATTAAGCTTAAACATGGAACAAGTGCAACCATTAACTTGCAAAAATTGCGCTTCTACAACCAAATTACCGGAAATTCAAACAAACGCACATTCATAGGGCGATCTTTCTTGAGATCCTGCAACGATTTGCCGACGAGTTGCATGATGAGAAAGTAGTAGTATTCCTTCTTTCCGCGGTCGATAATCGCCGTGAAATGATTGCGCTCGCTTGTTCCTTTTCGCTCATTGGCCACCATCTTGAGGATGCTTATCTAAAAAGGAAACTGAATAATGAATGAAATGTACACAAATACCTCCATTTTCAGCTTGGAGTGAATCCTGTTCTTGATCCTCTTCTCGATTTTCATTGCGTAGCACAACTTCGAATCGTTCTTGTCGCAAATCTAAAGAAATGTTAATGATATGATTATAATAAAATAAAAAGAATAAAGATAGTGATAATTATTTGAGATTCGATCAACTCGAGTAAATATTTACACCATATCAAACAATGGCAAGGAACAATATTTTTAACTTCGGCCAAACGCAAACCTTAAACACCACTCCAAAGCCTCCCTCGCCGAGAAGTCTGCCGATGGTGTAGGTCGACTTTCCACCCTTGAGAATTGCTCCCTGAAAGGAAAAAAGAACAATGTAACACATTAATAAAAAAGTCCGAGCCTTAAACATTGCCGCCATTAGCTTAGCTGATCAACGCACAAAAAACATGACCAGTTTTACCGCAGCAATGCTTTTTATCTGGCATTAACTCTTTTCAAAAACAAATTTACAGGTAAAACACAAGTCAACTTTAAAAACAGTAAACACAATATATAGGCTTTCATAAGTTTGGCGAAGCGACTGACAGTTGCCTTTTGATGCCAAAATAGTCAAAATAGGAAAAAATGCCACCAGAATAAGTTGATCAAAAAAAATTGTTTACCGGTTCGATGCCGACCTCCGCGTACCAGGTTTCATCTTCGCTGCTCATCCTTGTGTCGTTGATCAGCTCCGGTGTGAAGGTTAACAAATGATACGTGAAAGGGAAATTTTTCTTTTATATTTGGTCCTTAAATGCAAATTATCCTTTTCGCGACTATCGCTTAAATGCAAATTTTGACAATTTCAATTTTCGTCTCAATTCAATTCCTTCGAATTTTTCAGTTTTGAACTTGTTTTTGGTGTATTTTATGCTGATTTCTGGTGCATAGCTCATAATCAAACTAGCGTAAATACTGTTCGTTCGATGGACCCCACCCCCATAATGACGGTGCGGAGTGTTGCATATTCTAGCTTCGAACGAGTTTTTGCTCGACACTGGTTTATGCTACAGGTAGGTATCAAAAGGTATCAAAAATAGCTGAAATTCAGGGCTATTTTTTGAAACCAAAGAAAGCATTTTTATAACAAATAACGCTTCCAATACGGTTCCAATACGGTTCCAATAAGGTCCCAATAAGGTTCCAATACGGTCCGAATAAGGTTCCAATACGGTGCCTATTATGAAACAAATAAGGTTCGAATAAGGCTCGAATATGGTTCCAATACGGTTCCAATAAGGTTCCAATAAGGTTCCAATACGGTTCCAATACGGTGGTAACTGTACTATTATAGTAACGATAGTAGTATTATCTATAAAGAAAAGCCTAGAGGTTATTTTTCAATTTGATTGTAAAATTTGAATTTAAATCTCATGGAGACAGCGGCCAAATGTTAGCGGATCATTTTCGATTGCAAGCAAACCAGGTTCAGTTTCTTATTACTTGTCCTAAAATTTTAGTGCTCTGCTTTGTCAGATTCTGCCATATTCGGTCAGAGGTTTTAATTTTGATTTAGCATCTGGTCTGTCCTCTTCTGTCGGCAGTTCTAGCCTTCGACCCTTTTGGACGGGGTATCGAGCCTCCAGGCTTTTTCTTTCTACCACATCCAACCGCAAAATAGACTAAAACACAAAATTATCCGGCATAGGCTCAGTGGAACCGAATCCAATGCTGACTAACTCAGTAAAATCGGCAAAGCGTAGATGCAAAGCATCATCAGAGGAGGACAGACCAGATGCTAAATCAAAATTAAAACCTCTGACCGAATATGGCAAAATCTGACAAAGCAGAGCCCTAAAATTTTAGGACAAGTAATAAGAAACAGAACCTGGTTTGCTTGCAACGAAAATGATCCGCTAACATTTGGCCGCTGTCTCCATGAGATTTAAATTCAAATTTTACAATCAAATTGAAAAATAACCTCTAGGCTTTTTCTTTATAGATAATACTACTATCGTTACTATAATAGTACAGTTACCACCGTATTGGAACCGTATTGGAACCTTATTGGAACCTTATTGGAACCGTATTGGAACCATATTCGAGCCTTATTCGAACCTTATTTGTTTCATAATAGGCACCGTATTGGAACCTTATTCGGACCGTATTGGAACCTTATTGGGACCTTATTGGAACCGTATTGGAACCGTATTGGAAGCGTTATTTGTTATAAAAATGCTTTCTTTGGTTTCAAAAAATAGCCCTGAATTTCAGCTATTTTTGATACCTTTTGATACCTACCTGTAGCATAAACCAGTGTCGAGCAAAAACTCGTTCGAAGCTAGAATATGCAACACTCCGCACCGTCATTATGGGGGTGGGGTCCATCGAACGAACAGTATTTACGCTAGTTTGATTATGAGCTATGCACCAGAAATCAGCATAAAATACACCAAAAACAAGTTGAAAACTGAAAAATTCGAAGGAATTGAATTGAGACGAAAATTGAAATTGTCAAAATTTGCATTTAAGCGATAGTCGCGAAAAGGACAATTTGCATTTAAGGACCAAATATAAAAGAAAAATTTCCCTTTCACGTATCATTTGTTAACCTTCACACCGGAGCTGATCAACGACACAAGGATGAGCAGCGAAGATGAAACCTGGTACGCGGAGGTCGGCATCGAACCGGTAAACAATTTTTTTGATCAACTTATTCTGGTGGCATTTTTCCTATTTTGACTATTTTGGCATCAAAAGGCAACTGTCAGTCGCTTCGCCAAACTTATGAAAGCCTATATATTGTGTTTACTGTTTTTAAAGTTGACTTGTGTTTTACCTGTAAATTTGTTTTTGAAAAGAGTTAATGCCAGATAAAAAGCATTGCTGCGGTAAAACTGGTCATGTTTTTTGTGCGTTGATCAGCTAAGCTAATGGCGGCAATGTTTAAGGCTCGGACTTTTTTATTAATGTGTTACATTGTTCTTTTTTCCTTTCAGGGAGCAATTCTCAAGGGTGGAAAGTCGACCTACACCATCGGCAGACTTCTCGGCGAGGGAGGCTTTGGAGTGGTGTTTAAGGTTTGCGTTTGGCCGAAGTTAAAAATATTGTTCCTTGCCATTGTTTGATATGGTGTAAATATTTACTCGAGTTGATCGAATCTCAAATAATTATCACTATCTTTATTCTTTTTATTTTATTATAATCATATCATTAACATTTCTTTAGATTTGCGACAAGAACGATTCGAAGTTGTGCTACGCAATGAAAATCGAGAAGAGGATCAAGAACAGGATTCACTCCAAGCTGAAAATGGAGGTATTTGTGTACATTTCATTCATTATTCAGTTTCCTTTTTAGATAAGCATCCTCAAGATGGTGGCCAATGAGCGAAAAGGAACAAGCGAGCGCAATCATTTCACGGCGATTATCGACCGCGGAAAGAAGGAATACTACTACTTTCTCATCATGCAACTCGTCGGCAAATCGTTGCAGGATCTCAAGAAAGATCGCCCTATGAATGTGCGTTTGTTTGAATTTCCGGTAATTTGGTTGTAGAAGCGCAATTGTTGCAAGTTAATGGTTGCACTTGTTCCATGTTTAAGCTTAATGGTGTTGGTGTTGTCTTGTCTTGCCTGATCTTTGTTGTTGGATCATTTATCCAACAACAAAGGTCATCAGATGAGTTTTAGCCTGTTTAACGTGTCACATAATGAAAATGTGAATTGAGCAGATAAAAACTTTACATTTAATATTGTGCTTCTTTTAGGTTTTCTCCTTGGGCACGGGACTTGGCGTCGGAATGCAGTGCCTGGAAGCGGTTGAGGACCTTCATAAACATGCCTTCATTCATCGGTTTGTTTCCTTGAATGTTCTAGTGTCAATGGTTTAGAGCTTAAAAGTGTTTCGTGGCGAATTGAGTCTTGAGCATTTTAAAACAACTCCATTCTTGTCGACTTTTTATTTTTAGCGACTTAAAGCCGGCAAACTACGCATGTGGTCTTGATAATCAGATGCACACGGTCTACATCCTCGACTTCGGAATTGCTCGCAAGTACACAAATCACAAGGTAATGGATTTGATTTAACTTTAATTGTATTTTGACATTTTAAATGTGGCTTTTCTTATTTTCAGGGTGAATTGAAGACGCCACGTGCTGAGGTCCGCTTCAAGGGAACGGTGCGTTTCGCCTCGCTGGCTTGTCATCGATGCATTGAGAGGTCGGTGAAAGACGATGTGGAGTCGTGGTTCTACCTGCTATTGGATCTCATCGTCAAGGAAGGTAATTGATTTTGGATTTGAGCAATTCGCCTTACCGCTAAGCTCTAATAAAAAAGCGGCGTATAGGAGCGTCGCATAGTCTAAGTTTACTCTCAAACGCTGGTGTGAGATATCAGCGTTTGAGAGTAAACTTAGGCTATGCGCGCTCCTATATTAGAGCTTTTACGGTGTCTCTTTTCTTGAAGTCTTTACTTGGAAAGTTCACGAAGCTAAAGATCATATGTTTTTCACTGATATTTGCTTTTTTTGTTTAGGTCTGCCTTGGAAGAACATTGATGATAAGAACATTGTACAAGGCCGCAAGGAGGAATCTCGCAAGAATAAGGATCTCTACGGAACGCTCAAGTGCAAGAATGTAGGTGATTCTTTCCAAACTCATGACAAAAACTCAAATTGCTGATTCTGCAGTTAGATTTGACTTGATCAATGGTTTTTCTTTAGGACTATCAGAAGATTCTCACCTACATCGATCGCCTCGAGTACACCGATCATGTCGATTATCAATTCATCTACGAGAAGCTCAAACGGGTAGGGTTTTTTTGCACACCATTAGTTGCCTTGAGGATTGTTAGATGGTTTGTTAGATATACACTTACTTTCTCATTTTAGATCGCTGCCCAGCAGAGCATCAACATCGACGGCCCGTACGATTTCGAGCCGCCTTCAAAGAAGTGAATAGGGCCAATGGGGAACAAAAAAAATCGATAATGGAAACAAATGAACTTTATTATTTGTGAACGTGAATAAATAAATAAATGATTGTATCTTCTCAGGATTGGGTTGTGGATGATGTACTTTTCCTTTTTTCTGATTTACTGACTTGGAGCCAAAGGTAGAATTGCTAGACCATAAAAATAGCTAAATTTAATGGAATATCAAAGTATTTCTACAGAATCGGGCATCCATTTCAAAATCTTGCGAAGACTGGTGCTTTTTACAAAACGATTGTTGATTACATTGGAATTTTGAAAGTTTTTAGCGTCGACGAGTCTCGGCGACACCGATTTTGCAGAGATTTTGAAAGAAACTCACCACAAAGTCTCCGTGATTCAAGCGCATGTCCAAGTAAGGCTGTGCTGTGTCGTCCGAGAATACCGATAATGGCGACAACAATTTCCAAGCGTTTATTTACTAGTTTTAATGACCTTCGAAAAAAAATTTAATGAATCCAGTTGTGTGGAATCTTGATAATTTGTGATGATACAAATAGAAACACAAATAATATGTCTGTCTCCTTTTTTATATGTCTGTCTCTTTGCGGCTTTACAGCGTTGTACAGCGTTCTTATCGCCGATGTTCTTCCAAGGCAGACCTAAGCAAAAAAGCAAATATCAGTGAAAAACATATGACGTTTAGCTTCGTGAAATTTCCAAGTAAAGGCTTCAAGAAATGCTCTGATATAGGAGCGTTGCATAGCCTAAGTTTACTCTCAAACCCTGATATCTCAACACCAGCGTTTGAGAGTAAACTTAGACTATGCGACGCTCCTATGCGGGTCTTTTTATTAGACCTCTTTACGGTACGGCGAATTGCTCAAAATCCATTACCTTCCTTGACGATGATATGCAACAGCAGGTCCATGACTCCACATCATCTTTCACCGACCTCTCAATGCATCGATGACAAGCCAGCGAGGCAAAACGCACCGTTTTTTTTTGAAGCGGACCTCAGCACGTGTCGTCTTCAATTACCCCGAAAACAAGAAAAGCCACTTTAAAATGTCAAAATACAATTAAAGTTAAAAAAATCAATTACCCATTACCTAGAACTTAATAGGAACCGTATTGGAACCGTATTGGATCCGAATTGGAACCATATTAGAACTTAATAGGAGCCGTATTGGAACCGTATTGGAACCGTATTGGAACCGTATTGGAACCTTATTTGTTTCATAATATGAACCGTATTGGAACAGTATTGGAATTATATTGGAACGGCATTGGATTTATATTCAGCTTAGGATCAGGTATTCAGTCTACAATTGTACAATTCCGCTTTAGTTTTGACAAGTCCTCGAGCATGAGCAACTTTGCTTTGTGAATGCTTTTGTGAATGCCTAAGAGACGTGTTTAATTTATATAGCTCAAAAGTATACCTCCTGAACACAGTTACTTTGAAGAGAACCGGCAATCCTCTCAACTGATCCGCTGATTCCTCGAGTGATTCTCTTTCTACAATCTACAATCAACCTCGAGTGATTTTCTTTCTACAAGCTGTTGAATCTAAGAAGCTTAGGTTGATACAAAGATTATAGTCCATGCTGATTCGCATATATAACGATTTCAGAAAATGTTAATTGAAGTTGAAACGGATTCGAAACACAAACTCTTTGAATTAAGTATGCAACAAGTGAAAGAAGTTCGAAGTTGTTTATTTAGCCAACTTTTGACTGCCAGAGGACCAGGTCTTTCTCATCCTGGATGCGAGGCCGAGGATCTCTGTTAGAATGACATTAGCCCATACCTTAGCCTTATTTACATGTTTCATGGTCGTGTTTATATGCCAGGTAAATATTTTGCTTAAATATTTATTCCAAATTGAGTGATTTTATGCGCAGCTCTTCATTTCAGGCAGTTATTTTCTCAAAATACAGCTAGTTGAAGGTAAGCCTTAAACTCACTTCTCCGGCTTCAACTACCGCAGCATCTCGAACCTTCCTAGGCCTTGTGGAATTCTTCTTGAATATGTATATAAAGCTAAAGTAATGTCTTAAAACTAAACCAAAACTTAGCTTTACCAGGCTGTCACGATGCCGACACCCGTAACCATGAGGCAGCAACAGAGGACGATGAGTAAAATGATGGCCAACAGCCTGGCTGGGTTTTCCATCATTTTGTTGCAAATCTATTTATCGTCTTATTGCAAATAAAGTTAAGACTATAGTTCTACCTTGTGATCCGGATCATCTTCTCCACAATCAGGGACATCAAGGGCCTTGATCTGACTGCCATACTTTTTTGCGAAAGGATGTGTCTTGTGGTTAAGCCACATATTCTCCTCAACTGTTTTCTTTAGAGCAGGGTCCTAAAATTGTGTTTTAGTTGATTCATCAATAAGCTTGCCTGAATGCTCTCAAGGTTGAGGGGATAAGGATAGGCTGGAGAAGCGGATGGCTCCAAGTCATCTTCCTCGCCGGAAGTCCATAACTCTTCTTGAACCTCCAATTCTCGAAGAGTTTGACCACCTTCCTCCAGGCGGCTTGTGAAAACTAAAGCTCAGAGTTGAAGTTGAAATTAAAATCTGAATCACTTACAATAAACATTGGAAATATCATATTGAATTGGGCCCGGAGAGATTCGCGGATTTTGTAGCTTTTGGCCTCAAGAATCTCGTTTCGCCGACCAACCATACAATGGCAGTACGGCTTTTCAGGCTGAGAACTCGTCCCACTAAAAAGTAGAAAGTTGAATACGCCTTCCCGTGCAAAGATCAGGAGAATTTTATAAATAGCGAATTGCAAATCTCCATTGCATTGCATCTCTCCATTCCATCCAAAACTTTAGTAGATCAAGACGGTGATTTAGTGCCTTTTCTTGGACACTTTCAGCATGCGCTTTCGCAACATTCGTTATAGTCTAACAGAGTGGTTTCAAATTTCATTTCACGACTCGCAAAGTAGAAGGTTAAATCCGTTGGCTCTTTCATAGAATTTTTTTGACGAAAATCGAGAAAATTTGCTGAAGAAAGCGGAAATTTTTTATCGAGCAACTTTTATCGAAATGAGCGAAATTTTACTAATGAATAAAAAGACTGATGCATGCTAAAGCTCTCGATATCGGTGATAAAGTGTTCCCAATGCAAATTTTGAGAATTTCAAATTTCATTTCACGACTCGCAAAGTAGAAGGTTAAATCCGTTGGCTCTTTCATAGAATTTTTTTGACGAAAATCGAGAAAATTTGCTGAAGAAAGCGGAAATTTTTTATCGAGCAACTTTTATCGAAATGAGCGAAATTTTACTAATGAATAAAAAGACTGATGCATGCTAAAGCTCTCGATATCGGTGATAAAGTGTTCCCAATGCAAATTTTGAGAATTTCAAATTTCATTTCACGACTCGCAAAGTAGAAGGTTAAATCCGTTGGCTCTTTCATAGAATTTTTTTGACGAAAATCGAGAAAAATTTGCTGAAGAAAGCGGAAATTTTTTATCGAGCAACTTTTATCGAAATGAGCGAAATTTTACTAATGAATAAAAAGACTGATGCATGCTAAAGCTCTCGATATCGGTGATAAAGTGTTCCCAATGCAAATTTTGAGCATGCAAGGAAGAGGAATCGCAACTGGGGAGAAGTTGCTTATATTTGACGGTAGAATGCAAATTGGTTTGTAGATCTAATGTTTTACAAAATTTTTATCAGAGGAAGCTATGGACGATTATAATGTGTCTTTGCTTTTTGCGGCCATGAGGAGTCCTTATTCGTTGCGCTCGAAAAGCTAAAGTATTGTATGAAATAGAAATAAAGGCAGCTTTCCACCTGCAAAATCTGCTGAACATCATCTCGAAGTTGTTCGAACTTCTCCTCCAAGCGAGCGATTTGTGAGGCGAACTCCACTTCATGTGCCTGAGAAAGCGTCAAAAATTTTGAATTTGAAGATAAAGAGTTACCGAGCTTCCAATTTCGGTAGAAGAAGATGATTTGGAAGAGGTTGGGCGGTCATCATCGCCAAGCTTCAGGAACTTCTTCTCAAGCTCGAAATCGGCATCTTTCATCACTCTGGCCCATGCTTTTTTTGAGAACTCAAAGTTTAAAATCAGTTAAATCCAAGCGCAAAAATTACCTCGAACATGGGAAAGGATGTTTGGAACTTGGCACGAAGCTCAGCTTGATCATCTCGAAGATCATCTCGACTGAGTAACCAAATGATGGCGGTTCGGCGCTTCAGGCTTGGCTGACGACCCACTAGAAGCATAAAGTAATAGGCTTAATCTAGTTAAATATGTCAAGCGCTTAACCAGGTTTGAGTAATTCGGTAAAAAAATTATAACTGCCGCAGCAGAATTTAAGGCTGCTAAAAATAAAAGCTGTGAAAAAGAAAACAAAATAGTTGTGAAAGAAAACTTACTTGTCCCGACGTTTCAAATGAAGATTGTGAGATGTGGCAAGTGTCTTCGCTTTCATTTATTTAACCCTCAAATGCAAAATTATTTTTGCAAATGCAAATTCTGTATTTAAAAATGAAAATAATATTTAATGTTTCAATCCAAGTCAATAAATAATGTTTCAATCCAAATCAAATATCCGATTTTGATTGAAATCCAAATCGGATATCCGATAAAAGCCAAAAAATCCGAGCCCGAAGCTCCATTGTAATTTACTTCTAAATTGCATTTAGATTTGCAAAGCAATTTGAAGATTTGCATTTATCACTTGAATAAATGGTGCCTCAGACAAAGCGAACTTATCATAAATCTTCTCTGGCCCACCATCATCAGTAGGTTTTAATTTAATTTTTTAGCTAAACCTGTTCGGATTTTCTTCGCATGTAAATGCACCATATATTCTTATTTCTACTTTTTAGTGGGACGAGTTCTCAGCCTGAAAAGCCGTACTGCCATTGTATGGTTGGTCGCTCGAAACGAGATTCTTGAGGCCAAAAGCTACAAAATCCGCGAATCTCTCCGGGCCCAATTCAATATGATCTTTCCAATGTTTATTGTAAGTGATTCAGATTTTAATTTCAACTTCAACTCTGAGCTTTAGTTTTCACAAGCCGCCTGGAGGAAGGCGGTCAAACGCGCTCTTCGAGAATTGGAGGTTCAAGAAGAGTTATGGACTTCCGGCGAGGAAGATGACTTGGAGCCATCCGCTTCTCCAGCCTCCACTGCAAGCGTTGGAAAAGCTTCCAGTTACATGGTTAGCAGATTTTCTGTTAATCTACTGGTTATTATTTAGGGAAACGCAGCCCCCGAGCCATAAAAGCCAAAGCAAAATTTCGATCAAAGCCATCTTTTTCCCTGCTTTGAAATAAATCGTTCAGCCATTGCTATTTTCTGTGTAACTTCACGCTTAGCCATGAAATGATTCATCAAACACCAAAATAAGTATCCTACTAAATCTAAATTCTTGCCGGCATCCCAACCTCTAAAGTGTTTGATATGGAAATCATTTTTTACAGCCGTAGCTTGTGTGCGGGTATGCACGTAAATTTTTTGTCATGCAAAGTTAAAAGAATCACTATAATTTGTAAATCCCAATCCAACCTTTTGGGCCATATTTTAAATATTTTGAATATCTGTCGGAATATTTTGAAATTTGAATATAAATCTGAAATAAAAGGAACAGATTGACAGAGAAAAAATCATTTTACTTCAACCCAACGTTGTCTCCGGCGAAGAAGCACGTGGGTGTTTTTGAAAGGTGTTTTGTTTTTTTCATAGTAGTAATTTTTTGGTAGTTTTTGATAGTAGGGAAAAAACCGAAACCGTTTGGTTTGATGCAAAAGGTCAGAGTTGAAAAAAAATCGAAAGATAAATGGTTTAATGATGAGTTTGGAGAGATCTTCAAATGACTTGGGTTTTTTCAAAAACCGATTGTTCTTTGATTTGGGAGCGTTTTGCGTCTCATCAAAGCGAGTCAACGAGGTAAAAGCCCAATCATCTTTAATTGGACTGTTTTTTGTTCCTGGATGCACTACGAAGTTTGTTCAGTGCACCGATGTGGCTTGGAATGGTTCTTTTCGGGCACTATTTCGACAGTAGGACGGGGATTGGATTTTACTGCAGGCACCTGAACGTACCAAAAGTGGGAACCCAGCCCTTGGAGTGGACATTTACTTAAAATGGGTTGCTGATGCTTGGGATGCAATTTTGGAAGAACTCATCCGTCGATCCTTTAAAAGCTGTGGTTTTGGAATCGATCAAATGGTGCCGACGACCAGCTCATTCATCGTTTTAAGCCTGATGGTCCGATCTACAGAACTACAGTTACTCAGGGATGCACTCATCGAAAAAGAAGTTGATAAGCTTCTGAATCCGCTTTCTTCAGCAAATTTTCTCGATTTTCGTCAAAAAAATTCTATGAAAGAGCCAACGGATTTAACCTTCTACTTTGCGAGTCGTGAAATGAAATTTGAAACCACTCTGTTAGACTATAACGAATGTTGCGAAAGTAAAATCATTTTTTACAGCCGTAGCTTGTGTGCGGGTATGCACGTAAATTTTTTGTCATGCAAAGTTAAAAGAATCACTATAATTTGTAAATCCCAATCCAACCTTTTGGGCCATATTTTAAATATTTTGAATATCTGTCGGAATATTTTGAAATTTGAATATAAATCTGAAATAAAAGGAACAGATTGACAGAGAAAAAATCATTTTACTTCAACCCAACGTTGTCTCCGGCGAAGAAGCACGTGGGTGTTTTTGAAAGGTGTTTTGTTTTTTTCATAGTAGTAATTTTTTGGTAGTTTTTGATAGTAGGGAAAAAACCGAAACCGTTTGGTTTGATGCAAAAGGTCAGAGTTGAAAAAAAATCGAAAGATAAATGGTTTAATGATGAGTTTGGAGAGATCTTCAAATGACTTGGGTTTTTTCAAAAACCGATTGTTCTTTGATTTGGGAGCGTTTTGCGTCTCATCAAAGCGAGTCAACGAGGTAAAAGCCCAATCATCTTTAATTGGACTGTTTTTTGTTCCTGGATGCACTACGAAGTTTGTTCAGTGCACCGATGTGGCTTGGAATGGTTCTTTTCGGGCACTATTTCGACAGTAGGACGGGGATTGGATTTTACTGCAGGCACCTGAACGTACCAAAAGTGGGAACCCAGCCCTTGGAGTGGACATTTACTTAAAATGGGTTGCTGATGCTTGGGATGCAATTTTGGAAGAACTCATCCGTCGATCCTTTAAAAGCTGTGGTTTTGGAATCGATCAAATGGTGCCGACGACCAGCTCATTCATCGTTTTAAGCCTGATGGTCCGATCTACAGAACTACAGTTACTCAGGGATGCACTCATCGAAAAAGAAGTTGATAAGCTTCTGAATCCGCTTTCTTCAGCAAATTTTCTCGATTTTCGTCAAAAAAATTCTATGAAAGAGCCAACGGATTTAACCTTCTACTTTGGAGTCGTGAAATGAAATTTGAAACCACTCTGTTAGACTATAACGAATGTTGCGAAAGTAAAATCATTTTACAGCCGTAGCTTGTGCGGGTATACGTAAATTTTTGTCATGCAAAGTTAAAAGAATCACTATAATTTGTAAATCCCAATCCAACCTTTTGGGCCATATTTTAAATATTTTGAATATCTGTCGGAATATTTTGAAATTTGAATATAAATCTGAATAAAAGGGATTGACAGAGAAAAAATCATTTTACTTCAACCCAACGTTGTCTCCGGCGAAGAAGCACGTGGGTGTTTTTGAAAGGTGTTTTGTTTTTTCATAGTAGTAATTTTTTGGTAGTTTTTGATAGTAGGGAAAAAACCGGAAACCGTTTGGTTTGATGCAAAAGGTCAGAGTTGAAAAAAATCGAAAGATAAATGGTTTAATGATGAGTTTGGAGAGATCTTCAAATGACTTGGGTTTTTTAAAAACCGATTGTTCTTTTGATTTGGGAGCGTTTTGCGTCTCATCAAAGCGAGTCAACGAGGTAAAAGCCCAATCATCTTTAATTGGACTGTTTTTTGTTCCTGGATGCACTACGAAGTTTGTTCAGTGCACCGATGTGGCTTGGAATGGTTCTTTTCGGGCACTATTTCGACAGTAGGACGGGGATTGGATTTTACTGCAGGCACCTGAACGTACCAAAAGTGGGAACCCAGCCCTTGGAGTGGACATTTACTTAAAATGGGTTGCTGATGCTTGGGATGCAATTTTGGAAGAACTCATCCGTCGATCCTTTAAAAGCTGTGGTTTTGAAATCGATCAAATGGTGCCGACGACCAGCTCATTCATCGTTTTAAGCCTGATGGTCCGATCTACAGAACTACAGTTACTCAGGGATGCACTCATCGAAAAAGAAGTTGATAAGCTTCTGAATCCGCTTTCTTCAGCAAATTTTCTCGATTTTCGTCAAAAAAATTCTATGAAAGAGCCAACGGATTTAACCTTCTACTTTGCGAGTCGTGAAATGAAATTTGAAACCACTCTGTTAGACTATAACGAATGTTGCGAGAGCGCATGCTGAAAGTGTCCAAGAAAAGGCACTAAATCACCGTCTTCATCATCACTGTCCATACTAAAGTTCGCAGACGCGTAGGCGCAAAAGTTTTTTGGTACTTCATTTTTTCTAAGGGAAACTCTATGAAAGACTCTTTTAATTAATGTTTCACATTGTGTTGTTCAAGGTAAATGTGGAGTGTTGTTTAAGGTAAATCTTGTGTTTGGCTGAAGTTAAAAATTGTTCCTGCCTAATATCTTCAGGGTCCATTTGGGGTGCGCCTTAGCGACGATATGCTCAACGTGTTCTGGGATCGCGTGCAACTAGCCGCTTCGGACCGTATTAACGGCTTTTTTGCGATTCAATAGGTGGCAGCATCTTTGTTTGGGAAATTTGTGGAAATTTTGATTGTCACAGAGTCGCTTACTGCAGTTTATTACTATTTAAAAGCTACTCAGCAACTTGCGAGCACTTTAGTGCGACCCGGCCTCGCTTCGATCGCAAATTCATCCGCGTCAAGAAGTCATCCAAATTGTCTTCGACCAGGAACGGGAGCACTACATTACGGTAAGGATGACTTTTTATTCTCAAGCTCAGGCTCAACTCCTCTTAGGCTCATCTCTTTTACGTGAATAAGGTGCCCACTCGACGAGTTTACGATCCATTCATGCAAAAAATGTTAGAAATCGGGTTTTGAATTAGGCTGTAAGACGGTTCCAAAATGGTTTCTATTAAGTTTCAATATGGTTCCAATACGGGGAACCATATCGGAACCATATTGAAACCATATTCGAGCGAGTATTTCCTTTTCGAGTTAAATTCCATTCTTTTGAGAAACCGCTCGCTTTCTAAAGCGTGGATGCGCTGGATGCACCAGATGCACCGTACCCCGCACAAAGATTTGCTTCTGCGATCCTTTTTATTTTTCCGCATTTTTATCCAGCTGAAATTTTTACCCAGCTTTTACTCGGGTGTCCCTAATTTTTCTAAAATCAAGCAGAAATATGACAGCGTGAAAAATGCCGAAATAAAGGAGACGATCGATCAGTAATACGGGAATTGATGGCGTTAAGAGATGTCCTTGCGATATGATGCGCTCCTCAAGAAATCTATCCACGCTTTGCTTGGTTGAGTGCCGCCGTCGTCGTTGCTCCACTTCTTCCAGGAATTCCCGAGATATTGTATTTAAAAATATTGTTCCTTGCCATTGTTTGATATGGTGTAAATATTTACTCGAGTTGATCGAATCTCAAATAATTATCACTATCTTTATTCTTTTTATTTTATTATAATCATATCATTAACATTTCTTTAGATTTGCGACAAGAACGATTCGAAGTTGTGCTACGCAATTAAAATCGAGAAGAGGATCAAGAACAGGATTCACTCCAAGCTGAAAATGGAGGTATTTGTGTACATTTCATTCATTATTCAATTTCCTTTTTAGATAAGCATCCTCAAGATGGTGGCCAATGAGCGAAAAGGAACAAGCGAGCGCAATCATTTCACGGCGATTATCGACCGCGGAAAGAAGGAATACTACTACTTTCTCATCATGCAACTCGCAAATCGCTGCAGGATCTCAAGAAAGATCGCCCTATGAATGTGCGTTTGTTTGAATTTCCATATCGGTAATTTGGTTGTAGAAGCGCAATTATTGCAAGTTAATGGTTGCACTTATTCAATGTTTAAGCTTAATGATGTTGTTGTTGTCTTGTCTTGCCTGATCTTTGTTGTTGAATCATTTATCCAACAACAAAGCTCATCAGATGAGTTTTAGCTTGTTTAACGTGTCACATTCCTTGAATGTTTCCTTGAATGTTTCCTTTGTTTCCTTGAATGTTCTAGTGTCAATGGTTTAGAGCTTAAAAGTGTTTCGTGGCGAATTGAGTCTTGAGCATTTTAAAACAACTCCATTCTTGTCGACTTTTTATTTTTAGCGACTTAAAGCCGGCAAACTACGCATGTGGTCTTGATAATCAGATGCACACGGTCTACATCCTCGACTTCGGAATTGCTCGCAAGTACACAAATCACAAGGTAATGGATTTGATTTAACTTTAATTGTATTTTGACATTTTAAATGTGGCTTTTCTTATTTTCAGGGTGAATTGAAGACGCGACGTGCTGAGGTCCGCTTCAAGGGAACGGTGCGTTTCGCCTCGCTGGCTTGTCATCGATGCATTGAGAGGTCGGTGAAGGACGATGTGGAGTCGTGGTTCTACCTGCTATTGGATCTCATCGTCAAGGTAATTGATTTTGGATTTAAGCAATTCGCCTTGCCGCTAAGCTCTAATAAAAAAGCGGCGTATAGGAGCGTCGCATAGTCTAAGTTTACTCTCAAACGCTGGTGTGAGATATCAGCGTTTGAGAGTAAACTTAGGCTATGCGCGCTCCTATATTAGAGCTTTTACGGTATTTCTTTTCTTGAAGTCTTTACTTGGAAAGTTCACGAAGCTAAAGATCATATGTTTTTCACTGATATTTGCTTTTTTGTTTAGGTCTGCCTTGGAAGAAAATTGATGATAAGAACATTGTACAAGGCCGCAAGGAGGAAGCTCGCAAGGATAAGGATCTCTACGGAACGCTCAAGTGCAAGAATGTAGGTGATTCTTTGCAAACTCATGACAAAAACTCAAATTGCTAGACTCAGTTAGATTTGACTTGATCAATGGTTTTTCTTTAGGACTATCAGAAGATTCTCACCTACATCGATCGCCTCGAGTACACCGATCATGTCGATTATCAATTCATCTACGAGAAGCTCAAACGGGTAGGGTTTTTTTGCATACCATTATTTGCGTTGAGGATTGTTAGATGGTTTGTTAGATAGACACTTTCTTTCTCATTTTAGATCGCTGCCCAGCAGAGCATCAACATCGACGACCCGTACGATTTCGAGCCGCCTTCAAAGAAGTGAATAGGGCCAATGGGGAACAAAAATCGATGATGGAAACAAATGAACTTTATTATTTGTGAACGTGAATAAATAAATAAATGATTGTATCTTCTCAGGATTGGGTTGTGGATGATGTACTTTTCCTTTTTTCTGATTTACTGACTTGGAGCTAAGCAAAGGTAGAATTGCTAGATCATAAAAATAGCTAAATTTAATGGAATATCAAAGCATTTCTACAGAATCGGGCATCCATTGCAAAATCTTGCGAAGACTGGTGCTTTTTAGAAAACGACTGATGATTACATTGGAATTTTGAAAGTTTTTAGCGTCGACGAGTCTCGGCGACACCGATTTTGCAGAGATTCTGAAAGAAACTCACCACAAAGTCTCCGTGATTCAAGCATGTCCAAGTAAGGCTGTGCTGTGTCGTCCGAGAATACCGATAAGGGCGACAACAATTTCCAAGCGTTTATTTACTAGTTTTAATGACATTCGAAAAGAAATTCAATGAATCCAGTTGTGTGGAATCTTGAAAAGCACTAGAAAAGAATTTGGAAAAGAATTTGGAAATGAGTAGGATTCCCCTTTGTAAAGGAAAAGACTTTTATCATTTTTAACATTTAGGTGGAAGAAAAAGAAGACATTCCACCGCCGCAACAGCAGCTGATCTTTGCTGGAAATCAGGTGAATGACGATAAAACTTCCATTGTGAGGTATGACCTTGCTTTTAGCGCAAAATATAATATTGTTATTGTGATCAAAAAGCACCAATCGACAAATTAAAAATATAGGGCATTACATTTTAAACAGTAGACAGCTTATTTTCCGGTTGATCCGAAACCCCCATCCCCACGATCCGTATTCGTCAGAGATCTACTAATTAAGAGCTGACTTCTTCTCCACGTGAGCGATTCGCAAGCAAATGAATTGAGCAACACCGTCATTTTGCTTTACCTAAAACATTATGTTATGCTGTAGCGGGGTTCCCCTTGACACACCGTCAATTTGCATGACAGCCTTCAAACCAGACAAAACTCGCGACTTTGGCTTACAGTTTGGCTGACAAATGGAAAATTTTGAATATAAATTATCATACTTTGGAAATTTGAATATAAGTATCAAATAAAAGAAACATACTTTCTTGAGGAAATCATTTTGATTCAAGGCACGATGCCCCAAGCGGAAAAGCACGTGGGTTTTTTTTGAAATTTTGCTTTTATTACCGAAGCTTTCTTTGTTATTGATTGAGTTGAACTGCTTTTGTTTTACGAAAAGCCGGTTTCCTTTTTGGCACCGATAGTCTCTTTGGTTTTCATGGCAAATAATTAAGTTAATCTTTTATACTAATTTGAAATTTATTTAGACAAAAAAAGAAGTTAGCCGTAGGTCGGTGAAGACGTCGAAGGAAGGCAAGAAAGGGGTTCTGAAGGAAGATACCGAATTGAAAAAGGCAGATGGTGAGTTTTACTTTGGAGTGTGGAATCCTTATTTTGTGAGTCCGTCCCTTTAAAAAAATATTTCTGATCTACATCCTTCAGAAAAAGAACCCTCCGCCATTGCCTTTGCCAAGGATCCACGCACTAGTTACGCGGAAGCCTTGCTTTCAAAAAAACCGAGGGTTAAAATCCATCAATCCTTTTTATAATTTTTACTTTTTAGGATATCTTCAACGAGTATAAAACGAAAGAAATGGAAAAAATCAAGCCCGATAGCTACACGTATCTTGCCTGGCAACGATTCGAATCGAAAAATCGGCAAGTTGAAAAAGTTTTTGGTGATTTATAATTGTTTGCTTTAGCTATCCCGACATCGTGTGTTTGGACAATACGCGGGTGAAATTGAAGGTGTTTCATCTTGATAACCGTTAATTTTTGAATTTAGGACCGTGATTCGAGCAATGACTACATACACGCTTCGTGGATGACAATGACAAACGGTCGGCGGTATATCAGCACACAGGGGCCGTTGGAAGACACAATTGGAGTACGTTAACCGTGACGTTTCTTTCACTTTTTGATCTAGGATTTTTGGCATATGATCATTACCGAGCAGTCTACTCAAATCGTGATGCTGTGCGCGCTGAACGAGGGAAAAGAGAGCAAATGCGAAAGGTGACGGGTTAAAATTTATAGTTATGTTACACAAAAAATTTTATGTTTAAAAATAAACACCTAAATTTAGGTACTACCCGAAATTCTCCAAAGGGCACTCGATCAACGCGGGCGATTACAAGATCACGTACGACCGGAAACTGCATTCGATTTACAAGGAGACGTCAATCTACCAATATAAGGTCACCGGGGGAAAGTTTGTTTCTTTTCGGCTATGGGATAATTGCTAGGTGTTTAGGTTGGCGGATCCCTTCATTGTCACACACTTTTTAGTCAACTCGTGGAAGGACCACTCAATTCCAACCAATCTGGAACAGATCATAGGTCGGTGACCTTTTTCTTACTGCTAGAATTTCTCCTTTTCAGCCCTCTTGAAGTGCGTCACCAAGGCTCCAATGGAAAATCCTATCACGGTGCACTGCTCGGCGGGGATCGGCCGCACTTCAGCCTTCGTCGGCAAGGACCATTTCGCTAGATAAAGAAAATTATTATTTAGCCGTTGACTACGCCAACCAAGCAATTATGGCCAATCCCGACTTCACGATGGTCCAGCTGCTCAAGGAGTTGCGCAAGATGAGGTATTTTTGTTGCAGAATTCTTTTAACGCCTTCCCGTTTCAGATTTCATGCAGTGCAGGGCGGCGGTCAATATTTCTACATTCATGCGGGCCTGATTGAATTGTGGGTGACCGAGGGAATCATTAAGAGAGATCCTTGCAAGAGTTTCCTGGGCGGCTACAAGAAAATTTGTGAAATGTGAGTTCATTTTATCTGTATCAACTTTTTCTAATTTAGCCTCAACAAGAAAGTCAGCGAAAACCCATAGAGCCGGCGGCAAAAGGGACTCCAAAGATTTGAAAAATGGATAATTACATCTCAATAAATATTTCAAAATGATTACACTCGTAAAATCCATAGAAACGGAGAAGAAGTCGGAAGCACACTTTCTGGTAAACCATTGAACATGCCGCTTCCTTGTCGTAAGCCACTGAATCAATCGATCACGCCGGTTCTAATATGGTTCCAATACGGTTCCTTTTCAGATCCGAATCCGAAATCCGAAGAAAGAAAAAGCCTAGAGGCTCGATACGCCGTCCAAGAACGTCGAAGGCTAGAACTGCCGTGGGAAATGAGAAGCTGGGCCCAACTTCATTGGTTCCGCTTCCACAGATTTTTTATTTTTTCCAAGTCACATTTTACAGTCAGCGCCAAAGAAAGCAAGCACGATGTGCAGCCTGAGGCAAATTTTCTTATTTTCTATTACTAAGATATTTTTAGAAAGGTTTCTTCTTCGCAGAAAAGAGCTGCAAAAGTGGGAAATAAAAGCATCAGGCAAGACAAGACAACAACAACACCATTAAGGAACCGTATTGGAACTTAATAGGAACCGTATTGGAACCATATTGGAACCGTATTGGAACCGTATTGGAACCGTACTGGAACCGTATTGGAACCGTATTCGAACCGTATTGGAACCGTATTGGAACCGTATTGGAACCGTATTCGAACCATATTGGAACCGTGTTCGAACCGTATTGGAACCGTATTGGAACCATGTTAGAACCATATTGGAAGCATATTAGAACTTGATAGGAACTGTATTGGAACCGTATTGGAACCGTATTGGGACCGTATTGGAACCGTATTCGAACCGTATTCGAACCGTATTCGAACAGTATTCGAACCGTATTGGAACCGTATTGGAACCGTATTCGACCCGTATTGGAACGGTATTGGAACCGTATTGGAACCGTATTGGAACCGTATTGGAACTTAATAGGAACCGTATTGGAACTTAATAGGAACCGTATTGGAACCATATTGGAACCGTATTGGAACCGTATTGGAACCGTATTGGAACCGTATTGGAACCGTATTGGAACCGTATTGGAACCGTATTAGAACTTAATAGAAACTGTATTGGAACCGTATTGGAACCGTATTGGAACCGTATTGGAACCGTATTGGAACCGTATTGGAACCGTATTGGAACCGTATTGGAACCATATTAGAACTTAATAGGAACCGTATTGGAACCGTATTGGAACCGTATTGGAACTTAATAGGAACCGTATTGGAACCGTATTGGAACCGTATTGGAACCGTATTGGAACCGTATTGGAACCGTATTGGAACCGTATTGGAACCGTATTGGAACCGTATTGGAACCGTATTGGAACCGTATTGGAACCGTATTAGGAACCGTATTGGAACCGTATTGGAACCGTATTGGAACCGTATTGGAACCGTATTGGAACCGTATTGGAACCGTATTGGAACCGTATTGGAACCGTATTGGAACCGTATTGGAACCATATTAGAACTTAATAGGAACTGTATTGGAACCGTATTGGAACCGTATTGGAACTGTATTGGAACCGTATTGGAACCGTATTGGAACCATATTGGAACCATATTGGAACCGTATTAGAACTTAATAGGAACTGTATTGGAACCGTATTGGAACCGTATTGGAACCGTATTGGAACCGTATTGGAACCGTATTGGAACCGTATTGGAACCGTATTGGAACCGTATTGGAACCGTATTGGAACCGTATTGGAACCGTATTGGAACCGTATTGGAACCGTATTGGAACCGTATTGGAACCATATTGGAACCGTATTGGAACCATATTAGAACCTAATAGGAACCGTATTGGAACCGTATTGGAACCGTATTGGAACCGTATTGGAACCGTATTGGAACCGTATTGGAACCGTATTGGAACCGTATTGGAACCTATTAGGAACCGTATTGGAACCATATTGGAACCGTATTGGAACCGTATTGGAACCGTATTGGAACCGTATTGGAACCGTATTGGAACCGTATTGGAACCGTATTGGAACCGTATTGGAACCATATTAGAACTTAATCGGAACCGTATTAAAACCGTATTGGAACCGTATTCGAACCGTATTGGAACCGTATTGGAACCGTATTCGAACCGTATTGGAACCGTATTCGAACCGTATTGGAACCGTAATGGAGCCGTATTGGAGTCATATTGGAGCCTTATTTGTTTCATAATAGGAACCGTCTTGGAACCGTATTGGAACCGTGCATTTTTTTGATTTTGTTTGTTTTGATTTTGAATTGAGCAGATGAAAACTTTTTATTTAATATTGTCCTTTTTTAGGTTTTCTTTTTGGGCACGGGACTTGTTCGGAATGAAGTGTCTGGAAACAATTGAGGACCTTCAAAAACATGCCTTCATTCATCGGTTTGTTTCCTTAAATGTTCTGCAATGGTTTAGAGCTTGAAATGGTTTATAGCTTAAAAGTGTTTCGTGGGCGAATTGATTCTTGAGCATTTTAAAACAACTCCATTCTTGTCGACTTTTTATTGTTAGCGACTTAAAGCCAGCAAACTACGCATGTGATCTGAACAATCAGATGCACACGGTCTACATCCTCGACTTCGGGATTGCTCGCAAGTACACAAATCACAAGGTAATGGATTTTTTAACTGTAATTGTATTTTGACATTTTAATGTGGCTTTTCTTGTTTTCGGGGTGAATTGAAGACCGCACGTGCTGAGGTCCGCTTCAAAGGAAACGGTGCGTTTTGCCTCGCTGGCTTTTGATCGATGCATTGAGAGGTTGGTGAAAGATGATGTGGAGTCATGGACCTGCTGTTGGATCTCCTCGTCAAGGAAGGTAATTGATTTTGAGCAATTCGCCGTACCGTAAGAGGTCTAATAAAAAAGACCCGCATAGGAGCGTCGCATAGTCTAGGTTTACTCTCAAAGCTGGTGTTGAGATATCAGGGTTTGAGAGTAAACTTAGGCTATGCACGCTCCTATGTTAGAGCTTTTCTTGACGTCTTTACTTGGAAAGTTCACGAAGCTAAACGTCATAGTTTTTCACTGATATTTGCTTTTTTGTTTAGGTCTGCCTTGGAAGAACATTGGCGATAAGAACGCCGTACAAAGCCGTAAAGAGGGATCTCGCAAGGATAAGTATCTCCACGGAACGCTCAAGTGCAAGAATGTAGGTGATTTGCCAGCTTTCTTTACTAGCGTTTAATAAATTCTGACTCGTTTAATAAATTCTGACAATGACCAATCTAAAGCATGTTTATCCGCAGGTAGATAAAAGCGATCAATAGACCACTCAAAAAATTAGATCCAACGAAGCCAGGATCAAAGTGACCCCTCCCAAACACCGACGTACCCTTGTTTAACATTTTGACACTTTGTGCCACTGCGCTTGGCCTCAACTTCACCTCAACTTTAATTGAGTTCTTTTATAATTTGCTGATCTTAAAAGTGATTAGCAAAACATTCGGAGATATAAAATACGAATCAAGACGGTAAAAGTTATAAATCAACATGTTTCGAAGTCTTTAAATATCCCTTTACATTTTGCGTTTAATAGCGTTATAGTCTTAACTGTGATTGACCTTTTTGATCGGTCCTTAAAATCGTTAAAATCTAAAATTGCAATTCATTACGGTAACCCTATAGGATTAGCATCAAAAAAGCTGCAAAAAAATGATTCAATTATTGTATTCACGAGCAAAGTGGTATAACCAAAATTCACAAAGAGTTACAAGTGAAAAAGCCAAAAAAGCAAGCTCACTTGACACTGGCGGAATTACAAAAAAGGAACCAAATTGTACAGAAAAGAAGCCAAATTGTACAAAATGGGTCTGAAAATATATTAACCGAATGAAACCGTCGCAAAATGTTTTATAATGTTGGTTGCTGACTATGGGCGACTCAGCGGTGGGTTGGATCCTTGTGAATTTGTCAAACCATTTACATAAGTCAACACAATGAGCATAAGTCAACACAACACAAAAAGGCTAAGTAAAATTCAGTACTACAAGCAATTTTTCTTCGTGATTTTGCCAAGCAGCACTGGGCGTCGTGTTCGCTGTGGACGTACGGAGACTGCGATCGACGAGTGCGTGCGGTTCTAAAAAAACAAGTGTACAAATGTGAATGTATTCCACCTGGTGACAAAAATCCAAACAACGTACTGGGCCTTCATGCTTCATTTCCGTCATAAGCGCCATTTTCTCCACGCACCGTCTCTTCACATCATCGACGGGATCGAATTTGACGGTTGCTCCTTTCCTTTCCTTTGGTTTTGCTGGCACAACTATCCTCATTGCACTCAATGCCTGGGTGGGAGTGACGGCAAGCCTGGCGAAGCAGTTTGCCATATTGCTCAACTCTTGATCCACTACCTAAAAGAGGGAGATCTTGCAAAATACTTTGAAATGCATACCATTTGAACCGGCTTCTTGGTCTGATTCTTTTCAGCCTTTTTTGGGGTCTCTTTCGACTTCGATTCGGTCTTCTTTGGTGGCTGAGGTGACGTGTTCTTGGGACTTCCGATTTTTGTAAAATATCGTGGATTTAAGACTTTGGCGGCAACTGTAGGCATGACAGGCGTCTCCGGTCGTTGATTTTCTGCCTCCTTCTTGATTTGATTCGGCTTCCTGGTCCTGTCGATCATTCTCTGAAAAAAGAATAGTTTGAAAATAAGCGTTTTGAAAATAACGGTAATATACGATAAGGTTCCAATACGGTCCCTGTTGAGGATCGAATACCGTGCCAATACGGCTCCAAAACAGATTTCTCACCTCATCGCTGATCGTTTTGTCGACTTTCTCCTTGTAGAATTCCTCGGTGAACACAACAATGCCATTTCTAACATAATTCCGGAGGCGATAGCTGGAAAATGAAACATTTAGACTTAGGGAATGCGATTTGAAAAGCTCAGCCCGTTTAAATCCTTAACCAAAATGCCAAACGGACCTACGATACGGGAACTTCATAAATTCGTGCCACGAGTGCGATCCATCGCGATTCGCCCAAATGTACAAGTCATAGAGCGAGCGAGCATCGTAATTTGAGCTAAACAAGTGAGCAATGAGCAGAAAAAAGTCGTAGTTACTCGATGGGACGCCTGTCCCTCAACAAATCCATCACAACCCCGATTGCTCGATATCCACAACTCCATCCATCTGTCTGAAAATTTTAAATTTTCAGCTTGAAGCCCTGGTTATAACCGAGTTATTGACAAAACCAACCTGAGGGTCAATGTCGTGCACATATTCAACAGGGACCACGCCTGGCTGAGCAACACCGAAAAGGAGATGTCCGAAGAGGTCCAAAATTTGTCGAATGATCGATGGGCTCATCTAAAATGAAATAGCTGTAATTCATACTCAAAAAGTACCATGTCTTTCAAATCCCGATTTCTAACATTTTTCGCATGCAGTAATGGATCGTAAACTCGTAGAGTGGGCACCTTATTCACGTAAAAGAGATGAGCCTAAGAGAAGTTGAGCATGAGCTTGAAAAGAAAAAACCATTCTTACCGTAATGTAGTGCTCCCGTTCCTGGTCGAAGACAATTTGGATGACTTCTTGACGCGGCTGAATTTGCGATCGAAGCGAGGCTGGGTCGCACTAAAGGGCTCTCAAGTTGCTGAATAGCTTTTAAATAGTAATAAACTGTAGTAAGCGACTTTGTGACAATCAATATGCTTCAAAATTTCCACAAATTTCCCAAACAAAGATAGAGAGCCACCTACCAAAATCGATTGAATCGCAAAAAAGCCGTTAATACGGTCCGGAGCGGCGAGTTGCACGCGATCGCAGAACACGTTGAGCATATCGTCGCTAAGGCGCACCCCAAATGGACCCTGAAGATATTAGAATAAAACTAGCGCTCACATATCTTTCCATTTCCAACAATTTCCAAAAATAAAAAAGCCTCAGCCAATAAGTGTTATTGGAAAGCCCTAAATCTTCTCTAGAAGATAGTGCAAAAAATGTTGAATGGGACTAATTATTGGGGACTTGGGTGTTAAAAAGCAACTGCAGGTCGAGTTTCAACCGAGGGACCTGCGCCTGCTGGCAACTCACACTTCCACGGATTTTTCGCCTGAAGTTTTTCTTAAATATAACTTAATATTTATACCAAAAATCAAAAGACCCGCTTAGATTCAATCGAAATATAAAAATCCCAAGTCAAAAATTGGCCGTTTTTAGCCTAAAATGGGGTCAAAAAACAAAGGCTTAACTCTAGAAAATGAACAAAAGAAGTTCTTCTCTTCTATAATATTTTCAAATCACTTTAATTGATAGTATTTTCTAACGGAAACCCCGGGCATGACTATTACTAGAAACACATTCTCCTGAGAATCGTCATTTCTGAGCTTCCAACTTAAAAGTCACTCAAATCCCCATTATTTTGCAAAGGAGATTCAAGGCTTTATAATAGTATACAACACTTATTCACTGCTGCTTGTCAGTTTAGACTGATTCCCAGCTCGTTTTTCACCAAATTATCAAGTTTGACAAAATCTTTGCCAGTAAAAAAATTACCTCCGCATCTGGTGCTATTTCCGAAGAGTTGACTCGTCGATTCTCGAAAGGGCCATCGTTTTCTTGATCTTTTTCGCTAAAAGAAACAAAATTTTACTGATTTAACACAAAAACCTTACGCTTATATTTAATTCCTCTAGAAAAAATGAAATAACATTAAGCTGATCAAATCAGAGACGCGTCGAAAAATATGATCGGACTTGATTTGAATACGAACTGCGTAATAAAAAAAACTGCGGAAATAAGACTTGAATACGAACTGCGGAATGATACGGCTAAATGTAAAGCTATTCTCCGAAATTATCCGACCAAAAACTAGATTTGCTGCTCGTTTAAGTAAATCCGAAACTCTACGCCCGAAATTTGACAAGCAAACCAGCCACGTTTTGGTTATTAGTCAAATTATTAAATTGCTACGAATGAGGAAAGGAAAAGTTTTCCCGTCTTTTACTAGGCTAAAACATGAAAACGGAACTAAAAACCCACACAATTCTTGTCGGCATCACAACCTCAAAAGTTGTTTGATATGGAAGTCATTTTTTACAGCCGCAGCTTGTATGGGGTATGGATGTAAATTTTTTGTCATGCAAAGTTTCACTGTAATGAATCTCAATCCAATCTTTAAGGCCATATTTTGAATATTTGTCGGATTATTTTGTAATTTGAATATAAATCTCAAATAAAAGGAACAGATTGACAGAGAGAAAAATCATTTTACTTCAACCCAACGATCAGGCGAAGAAGCACGTTGGTTTTTTGAAAGTTTTTTGTTTTTTTGATAGTAGTAGTTTTTTGATAGTTTTGACAGGCAAAAAAACCGTTTTGTTCAGTGCGGCGATCTCACTTGGAAGGTCCTTTTCAGGCATTGACACAGTATTACAAGGATTGGGTCTTGCTGCAGGCATCTGAACGTACCAAAATTGGGAGCTCAAAGGCCCTTGGAATGGATATTTACTTAAAATGGGTTGCTGATGCTTGGGATGTAATTTCGGAAGAACTCATCCGTCGATCCTTAAAAAGCTGTGGTTTTGGAATTGATCAAATGTGGCCAGCTCATTCATCGTTTTAAGCCTGATGGTCCGATTCCTACAGTATTACAGAACTACAGTTACTCAGGGATGCACTCATCGAAAAAGAAGTTGATAAGCTTCTCGATTTTCGTCAAGAAAAATTCTATGAAAGAGCCAACAGATTCAACCTTCTACTTTGCGAGTCGTGAGATGAAATTTGAAACCACTCATTGTTACACTATAACAAATGTTGCGTAAGCGCAATCTGAAAGTGTCCAGGAAAAGACACTAAATCACCGTCTCACTCATCACCGTCCATACTAATTTAATTTAAGGAAGCCGCTGAAAATCTGAAAACCTTAGATAAAATCTCACTCTACTGCTGGGATTTCCATATAACAGCTGTTAATCAATAAAATTCCAGATGTAATTGCGGTAACTGCACAAATCAAGTTCAAAAACAATACCAAGAGCTCATTAAACTATACAAAAATAAGGCAATGGAGAAATCCAATTCTTTAATGATAAAATTCTCCTGATATTTGCACCCGAAGGCGTATTCAATACAAAAATGATCACACTTTCAGAAAATCTTAAAAAATGATACTGCACCGTAAAAACAAGATTTGACTAAAATCGGAGAGAAGAGGGGTACGGAAATAAATTTCGGCCACTGAATAACTGCGCAGTATCCAAAAATAAAGCTTTGAGCACACGAAGTAATGCATACTGGACACCAAAAACTGAGGTCCTCTTCAAAGGAAACTGCGTTTACGCAAAAACTACAGTGTGAAGTAAAAAGTATTCGGCACTCGTGAGCGAAAGCGTATTAAGCGAAAGACAAAAAGTATTCGGCGGATATCTTAAATTCTTCGCTTAAGCGAAAGATATTCAGTTTTTCCGTTTGAATACTCTCATTCCAATTTCAAAATAACTCACCCTAATAGCCTGGTTTTCATAGTTTGAGTAAAGTTGTGCGTGCTGATGGAAATGATGGGTTGCTGATGGATATGGCTGTTGTTCCGGCTCAAATTTCATCTCACGACTCGCAAAGTAGAAGGTTGAATCTGTTGGCTCTTTCATAGAATTTTTCTTGACGAAAATCGAGAAGCTTATCAACTTCTTTTTCGATGAGTGCATCCCTGAGTAACTGTAGTTCTGTAATACTGTAGGAATCGGACCATCAGGCTTAAAACGATGAATGAGCTGGTCGTCGGCCACATTTGATCGATTCCAAAATCACAGCTTTTTAAGGATCGACGGATGAGTTCTTCCGAAATTACATCCCAAGCATCCATTCCAAGGGCCTTTGAGCTCCCAATTTTGGTACGTTCAGATGCCTCCAGCAAGACCCAATCCTTGTAATACTGTGTCAATGCCTGAAAAGGACCTTCCAAGCCAGATCGCCGCACTGAACAAATCGGTTTTTTTGCCTATCAAAACTATCAAAAAACTACTACTATCAAAAAAAGGTACTATCAAAAAAACAAAAAACTTTCAAAAAACCAACGTGTTTCTTCGCCTGATCGTTTTGGGAGCGTTTTGCGTCTCATCAAAGCAAGTCAACGAGGTAAAAGCCCAATCATCTTTAATTGGACTGTTTTTTGTTCCTGGATGCACTACGAAGTTTGTTCAGTGCACCGATGTGGCTTGGAATGGTTCTTTTCGGGCACTATTTCGACAGTAGGACGGGGACTGGATTTTACTGCAGGCACCTGAACGTACCAAAAGTGGGAACCCAGCCCTTGGAGTGGACATTTACTTAAAATGGGTTGCTGATGCTTGGGATGCAATTTTGGAAGAACTCATCCGTCGATCCTTTAAAAGCTGGGGTTTTGGAATCGATCAAATGGTGCCGACGACCAGCTCATTCATCGTTTTAAGCCTGATGGTCCGATCTACAGAACTACAGTTACTCAGGGATGCACTCATCGAAAAAGAAGTTGATAAGCTTCTGAATCCGCTTTCTTCAGCAAATTTTCTCGATTTTCGTCAAAAAAATTCTATGAAAGAGCCAACGGATTTAACCTTCTACTTTGCGAGTCGTGAAATGAAATTTGAAACCACTCTGTTAGACTATAACAAATGTTGCGAAAGCGCATGCTGAAAGTGTCCAAGAAAAGGCGCTAAATCACCGTCTTCATCATCACTGTCCATACTAAAGTTCGCAGTCGCGTAGGCGCAAAAGTTTTTTGGTACTTCATTTTTTCTAAGCGAAACTCTATGAAAGACTCTTTTAATTAATGTTTCACATTGTGTTGTTTAAGGTAAATGTGGAGTGTTGTTTAAGGTAAATCTTGTGTTTGGCTGAAGTTAAAAATTGTTCCTGCCTAATATCTTCAGGGTCCATTTGGGGTGCGCCTTAGCGACGATATGCTCAACGTGTTCTGGGATCGCGTGCAACTAGCCGCTCCGGACCGTATTAACGGCTTTTTTGCGATTCAATAGGTGGCAGCATCTTTGTTTGGGAAGCGTGGATGCGCTGGATGCACCAGATGCACCGTACCCCGCACAAAGATTTGCTTCTGCGATCCTTTTTATTTTTCCGCATTTTTATCCAGCTGAAATTTTTATCCAGCTTTTACTCGGGGTTCCAATACGGTTCCTATTAAGTGCTAATATGGTTCCAATACGTTTCGAATAAGGTTCCAATACGGTTCCAATACGGTTCCAATACGGTTCCAATACGGTTCCAATACGGTTCCAATACGGTTCCAATACGGTTCCAATACGGTTCCTATCATGAAACAAATAAGGTTCCAATACGGTTCCAATACGGTTCCAATACGGTTCCAATACGGTTCCTATCATGAAACAAATAAGGTTCCAATACGGTTCCAATACGGTTCCAATACGGTTCCAATACGGTTCCAATACGGTTCCTATTAAGTTCTAATATGGTTCCAATACGTTTCGAATAAGGTTCCAATACGGTTCCAATACGGTTCCAATACGGTTCCAATAAGGTTCCAATACGGTTCCAATACGGTTCCAATACGGTTCCAATACGGTTCCAATACGGTTCCTATTATGAAACAAATAAGTTTCCAATACGGTTCCAATACGGTTCCAATACGGTTCCAATAAGGTTCCAATACGGTTCCAATACGGTTCCAATACGGTTCCAATACGGTTCCAATACGGTTCCTATCATGAAACAAATAAGGTTCCAATACGGTTCCAATACGTTTCCAATACGGTTCCAATAAGGTTCCAATACGGTTCCAATACGGTTCCAATCCGGTTCCAATACGGTTCCAATACGGTTCCTATTATGAAACAAATAAGGTTCCAATACGGTTCCAATACGTTTCCAATACGGTTCCAATAAGGTTCCAATACGGTTCCAATACGGTTCCAATACGGTTCCAATACGGTTCCAATACGGTTCCTATTAAGTTCTAATACGGTTCCAATACGTTTCCAATAAGGTTCCAATACGGTTCCAATACGGTTCCAATACGGTTCCAATACGGTTCCAATACGGTTCCAATACGGTTCCTATCATGAAACAAATAAGGTTCCAATACGGTTCCAATACGTTTCCAATACGGTTCCAATAAGGTTCCAATACGGTTCCAATACGGTTCCAATACGGTTCCAATACGGTTCCAATACGGTTCCAATAAGGTTCCAATACGGTTCCAATACGGTTCCAATACGGTTCCAATACGGTTCCAATACGGTTCCTATCATGAAACAAATAAGGTTCCAATACGGTTCCAATACGGTTCCAATACGGTTCCAATACGGTTCCAATCCGGTTCCAACGGTTCCTAGCATAAAACAAATAAGGTTCCAATACGGTTCCAATACGTTTCGAATAAGGTTCCAATACGGTTCCAATACGGTTCCAATACGGTTCCAATACGGTTCCAATACGGTTCCAATACGGTTCCTATCATGAAACAAATAAGGTTCCAATAGGGTTCCAATACGGTTCCAATACGGTTCCAATACGTTTCCAATACGGTTCCAATAAGGTTCCAATACGGTTCCAATACGGTTCCAATACGGTTCCAATACGGTTCCAATACGGTTCCAATACGGTTCCAATACGGTTCCTATTAAGTGCTAATATGGTTCGAATACGTGAACCGTATTGGAACCGTATTGGAACCGTATTGGAACCGTATTGGAACCGTATTGGAACCGTATTGGAACCGTATTGGAACCGTATTGGAACCGTATTGGAACCGTATTGGAACCGTATTGGAACCGTATTGGAACCGTATTGGAACCGTATTGGAACCGTATTGGAACCATATTAGAACTTAATAGGAACCGTATTGGAACCGTATTGGAACCGTATTGGAACCGTATTGGAACCGTATTGGAACCGTATTGGAACCGTATTGGAACCGTATTGGAACCGTATTGGAACCGTATTGGAACCGTATTGGAACCGTATTGGAACCGTATTGGAACCGTATTGGAACCGTATTGGAACCGTATTGGAACCGTATTAGAACTTAATAGGAACCGTATTGGAA